TTGTCATCCTCCTCTGTACGTTTTCCAGAGCATTTATATCCATTCTGTAATACAGTGACCAGAACTGAGCAGCATAGTCTAAATGAGGCCTAACCAAGGATATATAGAGTTGAAGAACAACCTGAGGACTTCTATTACTTATACTTCTAGATATGAAGCCAAGAATTCTGTTAGCTTTATTGCAAACACTAATGCACTGTTGTTTTGGTTTTAGATTACTGCTAACCAGAACTCCTAAATCCTTTTCACAATCAGTAGTATTAAGATCTACATTATTTAGTTTATATGTCACATGGTTATTTTCCTGTCCAACATTTAGAACTTTGCATTTGTCTATATTAAACTGCATCTGCCACTTCTCTGACCATTGCATCAGCCTATTCAAATCATCCTGGAGTGCTCTAGTGTCCTCATTAGGATGAATTGGAGTGGAGGGTCAGTATAAAGTGGGAAGCACAATGGAGGGTCAGTATAAAGTGGGACAGTTGTACAAACATTGTAGTGCTGAAATAAAGAAATAAAGTTAATTTCAGTTAAAAAAAAAAAGTAAAACGAGTCTAAATTGATTTTCTGCCAGTTTGACTAGTGACAGCTCATTAGGTCCAGCATTTAGGACGACATAAAGCCAGACTACGTGTAATCTATAATGGTTTTACATGGTTCTAGCCCTAATCAAACGGTTAATTACATTTACATTAAAAATATTTTGGGAACTTAAATAATTGCAAACATAAAAAAAAGATTCTAACATAACATTTTTACTGCTATTACCATAGGTCAGTATATAATGTCTTTCTAACTTCCTGGTACTGTTATACAGCCTCTCCTCGCTTAACGATGGAGTTCTGTTCCTAAGACCACGTCAGTAGACATATTTGTGCCTAAGTGAGGATCATACTATAATGGTAGTGTGTGTGTCAACCATCTTTGGTATTGTTTTAATGTCACCTCTGCAACATTTATAACATTTTTAGTACATTTTTAAATGTTTATACAGTAGTGTACTGTATATTGTAATAAACAGAATAGGCAATCAGCTCTAATATACATTATTTAGGTATGCATACTGGACAGAGAGCCTGTCATAAGTCCAAGTCGTTGGTAAACAAATACATCGCTAAGTGAGGAGAGGCTGTATTCTTTATCGTCGTTATAAGTTGGGTAAAATTCTAATAGATCTTTAATCATGTTTATTCTGCTCAGTATTTTAGGGACATATCAACACCACTGTTATATACAAACCTCATAATTAATATTATATAATACTGATATTAAAATCTCTGGGCCCACTAGATCCACACTAACCAAAGTACAGTGGACCCCTGCATACCGTACGCATTGCATACCGTACAATCCGCATACCGGACGCTTTGATCGCTAAAATTTTGCCTCGCATACCGCCCAAAAACCCGCTCACCGCCCTTCGTCCGAGACGCGTCCAATGTGCGGCCTGAGCCAGCCTCATATGTTCCGCCGGTGGCATTGTTTACCAGCCAGCCTCCGCGGTAACATCCAAGCATACAATCGGAATATTTCGTATTATTACAGTGTTTTCGGTGCTTTATCTGGAAAATAAGTGACCATGGGCCCCAAGAAAGCTTCTAGTTCCAACCCTACAGCAATAAGGGTGAGAATTCAATAGAGATGAAGAAAGAGATCATTGATAAGTATGAAAGTGGAGTGCGTGTCGCCGACCTGGTCAGGTTGTACAAGAAACCCAAATCAACCATCTCTACTATTGTGGGCAACAGAAAGGCAATCAAGGAAGCTGTTCTTGCCAAAGGTTTAACTGTGTTTTCGAAACAGAGATCGCAAGTGATGGAAGATGTTGAGAGACTCTTATTGGTGTGGATAAATGAAAAACAGCTAGCAGGAGATAGCGTTTCTCAAGCGATCATAAGCGAAAAGGCTAGGAAGTTGCATGAGGATTTAATTAAAAAAATGCCTGCAACTAGTGATGATGTGAGTGAATTTAAGGCCAGCAAAGGTTGGTTTGAGAGATTTAAGAAGCGTAGTGGCATACATAGTGTGATAAGGCCCTGGTGAGGCTGCCAGTTCGGACCACAAAGCAGCTGAAAAATATGTGCAGGAATTCAAGGAGTACATAGACAGTGAAGGACTGAAACCTGAACAAGTGTTTAATTGTGATGAAACAGGCCTGTTTTGGAAGAAAATGCCAAGCAGGACCTACATTACTCAGGAGGAAAAGGCACTCCCAGGACATAAGCCTATGAAAGACGGGCTTACTCTGTTGATGTGTTCCAATGCTACTGGTGATTGCAAAGTGAAGCCTTTATTAGTGTATCACTCTGAAACTCCCAGACCGTTCAGGCAAAAAAATGTCCTCAAGGAGAATTTGTGTGTGCTGTGGAGGGCAAACAGTACGGCATGGGTCACTAGGGACTTTTTCTATGACTGGTTACACCATGCATTTGCCCCCAATGTGAAAGATTACCTAACTGAAAAGAAATTAAAACTTAAGTGCCTCCTGGTGTTAGACAATGCCCCTGGTCATCCTACAGACGTGGCAGAGCGACTTTATGGGGACATGAAATTCATTAAGGTGAAGTTTTTGCCTCCTAATACCACTCCTCTCCTGCAGCCCATGGACCAGCAGGTTATTGCAAACTTCAAAAAACTGTACACAAAAGCTCTGTTTGAAAGGTGCTTTGTAGTGACCTCAGAAACTCAACTGACTCTAAGAGACTTTTGGAGAGATCACTTTAATATCCTCAATTGTATAAACCTTATAGGTAAGGCTTGGGAGGGAGTGACTAAGAAGACCTTGAACTCTGCTTGGAAGAAACTGTGGCCAGAATGTGTAGACAAAAGGGATTTTGAAGGATTTGAGGCTAACCCTGAGAGGATTATGCCAGTTGAGGAATCCATTGTGGCATTGGGAAAGTCCTTAGGGTTGGAGGTTAGTGGGAATGATGTGGAAGAGTTGGTGGAGGAGGACAATGAAGAACTAACCACTGATGAGCTGATAGATCAAACTTCAACAGCAAGAGGCCAGACCTGAGGAAACTGGTTCGAAGGAGGGGAGAGAGAAATTGAAGAAATTGCCTACTACAAAGATTAAGGAAATCTGTGCAAAGTGGCTTGAAGTGCAAACCTTCATGGATGAAAATCACCCTCACACAGCTATTGCAAGCCGTGCTGGTGACTATTACACTGACAATGTTGTGAAACACTTTAGGGAAGTCATAAAGGAACGAGAGGTACAGGCCACTATGGACAGATATGTTGTGCGAAAGAAGTCCAGTGACTCTGAAGCTGGTCCTAGTGGCATTAAAAGAAGAAGGGAAGTAACCCCAGAAAAGGACTCGACACCTCAAGTCTTAATGGAAGGGGATTCCCCTTCTAAACACTAACACTCTCTCTCCCCTCCTCCCATCCCATCAATCATCACCAGATCTTCAATAAAAGTAAGTGTCATGTAATTGTGCATGCCTTTTTCAGTTTGTGTGTATTAAAATTAACATTTCATGTGGTAAAAAATTTTTTTTTCATACTTTTGGGTGTCTTGCACGGATTAATTTGATTTCCATTATTTCTTATGGGGAAAATTCATTCGCATACCGAACATTTCGCATAACAACCAGCCCTCTTGCACGGATTAAGGTCGCTATGCGGGGGTCCACTGTACAGTGGTACCTTGGGATACAAACATTATACAGTGGTACCTCGGGATACAAACATTATACAGTGGTACCTCGGGATACAAACATTATACAGTGGTACCTCGGGATACAAACATTATAGTGGTACCTCGGGATACAAACATTATACTACAGTGGTATCTCGGGATACAAACATTATACAGTGGTACCTCGGGATACAAACATTATACTACAGTGGTACCTCGGGATACAAACATTATACAGTGGTACCTCAGGATACAAACATTATACTACAGTGGTACCTCAGGATACAAACATTATACAGTGGTACCTTGGGATACAAACATTATACTACAGTGGTACCTCGGGATACAAACATTATACAGTGGTACCTCGGGATACAAACAGCTCAAAACTCGAACAATTATGCAAGTGTATTTATGTAAGTGCTTTTTTAAAGGCCATGTGACGAAGGCATACAAGTGCTTGGATTTAATGAATCAAGAAACTGTGAACCCTAATGAATTAAAGTTATATTTAGATGCTTTAGAGAGTAGATTTGAGTGGTACAAATTGTGGTTTAAAGACTGTGAAAGAGATCTGCTGGAGAATTGTGCAGATGGAATGGAAATGAATGTTTTAATTAATCAACATTACAAATTGGAAGAAAAACTGTCTTGTAAAAGTAAGGCTTTGAATAAATTAAAGGGTGTAAGCCAGACAGTTGATCAACCTATTAATGCAAAGGGTGTGTTCGCCAAAACCTCCAGAGTACAGTCTGGAGGAAATCAGACTAGGTTGGCAAGAATTAATTGTTCAATTGCAGACCAGTCAGCCAAACAGTTCTAAGGATATAACACATAATGACTCTGAAGTATCTGTCAAGTCTCAAAAGGGAAAAATAATCCCAGTGGTAATAATCATAATTAAGAGTTAAATAGGCACATATCAAGTGACAGGAATCAGTAATAGTGGTTCCTCACATCAAGGTAAGAGGAATAAGTACCTCAGTACGGGTAACCCAGTTAATAAGAGGTCAGGCAAGGAAAAGAGAGACTGTCTCTTCTGCCAGGGTACTCATTTCACTAAGAACTGTAATGCCTATAATTCATGGGATATTAAAGTGGAAAGAATGAAAGAACTTGACAGATGTATCAGATGTCTAGACAATCATAATGTAAAGGATTGTCATACCAGATTGAACAGTTGCTATCAATGCAACAAGGGAAGGCACCATACAGTTATGTGCAGGGTTGTATGTAATTCTTATAATAATGGTGACAATAATGATAATGTGGCCTGGTGGCTAAAGCTCCCGCTTCACACACGGAGGGCCCGGGTTCGATTCCCGGCGGGTGGAAACATTTTGACACGTTTCCTTACACCTGTTGTCCTGTTCACCTAGCAGCAAATAGGTACCTGGGTGTTAGTCGACTGGTGTGGGTCGCATCCTGGGGGACAAGATTAAGGACCCCAATGGAAATAAGTTAGACAGTCCTCGATGACGCACTGACTTTCTTGGGTTATCCTGGGTGGCTAACCCTCCGGGGTTAAAAATCCGAACGAAATCTTATCTTATCTCTTAACCCTGACACTACAGTGACTGATGTAAACGTTACAGCTAATGGCAATAATGATGGTCTAGCTGAGGTAGCCTTGCCGGTGTTGGATGTAATAATTCAGGATAAAGGGCATAAATCCAAAACTATGTGGCATCATTCTCCTCAACACTGGTACGGGCCATGTAATATATGGCAGACTACCGCATAGTAATAATGACTAGAGGAAGTAGTAAATACAGTCACGGTGTCTTACTCATAAAAGGTCAACCCAGTACAAGTATTCTTCTATCGAGGATGATGTTGAACCAGTCTAATTTGTGGGAGCTGGACAGCATAGGGATTAATATTTATTTATTTATTATTTATTTATTTAGAAATTTTAGCATACAAACAGAGGTACAAAAAATACAGGTAAGAGCAGCATGCCAAAGCCACTTATATGCATAGCATTACGGGCTGGCTTAACATTAACTTAATCTTAACTAAGCAATGATGAAATCAGTGATAAGACATTATTGTAAACAGATAACTATAAAATACAAATGAGTATTACAAAGACAGGTCCTATGGTTGCATGCATTGCTGTTCATTCAGTAGAATGGAGTATTCTGTTAGGTAGTGTATTTAAAAAAAATAACAAAGTTAGGTTTAACATTTGTGTGATATAATTGTGAGTAACATTTAGGATATACAATTTATATGGTTCAGTTATTCAGTATTTATTTGGTTTTGAGTGAATAAGTGAACTTTGAGAAGAGACTTGAATTTATAAACAGGTAGTGTTTCTTTTATATTTAAAGGTAATGAATTCCAGATTTTAGGGCCTTTTATGTGCATTGAGTTTTTGCATAGCGTGAGATGGACATGAGGAACATCAAAGAGTGATCTGTGCCTTGTATTATGGTCATGTGTTCTGTTGAGGTTGGCAAGGAGATGAGGAAAGTCCAGACGATTTCTTTACTCAGGAACAATGCCTGAAGGATGTTAAATTTGAGTCTGGACATTACTGGGTGCGACTTCCGTGGAAGCTGAACCATCCAGAATTACCTAATAATTATATGATGGCATATGGACAGTTAAAGGGCCCAGCTCTGCAAACTGAGCAAGACACCAGAATTGTTGACTGCTTACCTGGGTATACCTGGGGAGAGTTCCGGGGGTCAACGCCCCCGTGGCCCGGTCTGTGACCAGGCCTCCTGGTGGATCAGAGCCTGATCAACCAGGCTGTTGCTGCTGGCTGCACGCAAACCAACGTATGAGCCACAGCCCGGCTGATCAGGAACTGACTTTAGGTGCTTGTCCAGTGCCAGCTTGAAGACTGCCAGGGGTCTGTTGGTAATCCCCCTTATGTGTGCTGGGAGGCAGTTGAACAGTCTCGGGCCCCTGACACTTATTGTATGGTCTCTTAACGTGCTAGTGACACCCCTGCTTTTCATTGGGGGGATGGTGCATCGTCTGCCAAGTCTTTTGCTTTCGTAGTGAGTGATTTTCGTGTGCAAGTTCGGTACTAGTCCCTCTAGGATTTTCCAGGTGTATATAATCATGTATCTCTCCCTCCTGCGTTCCAGGGAATACAGGTTTAGGAACCTCAAGCGCTCCCAGTAATTGAGGTGTTTTATCTCCGTTATGCGTGCCGTGAAGGTTCTCTGTACATTTTCTAGGTCGGCAATTTCACCTGCCTTGAAAGGTGCTGTTAGTGTGCAGCAATATTCCAGCCTAGATAGAACAAGTGACCTGAAGAGTGTCATCATGGGCTTGGCCTCCCTAGTTTTGAAGGTTCTCATTATAATGATATAATTAATCAACAGTTAAATAATAAATTGTTCCTACGTCAGGCGACGATAAATGCACACCTTAAGTACACAGGTGGTCCACTGAGCGAAGTAATTGGGTAAATAATCGTATGTGGACAATTTCCTGGGTGTGACGTCAACTGAAGAGGAACTAATGAGGATATATGAAGGGGTTAATGAAATAATGCAAGGTGCAAGGATGCCCCTGAGGGAATGGAACAGTAATTTGTCCATTTTGAGGGATCAATATATATGGATAGCCCTGGAGTTGAAGTGCCTATATGCAGTAATGTGCTGGGGCTGACTTGGAATACTGAGAGAGACTTGTTATTGTTAAAGTCTCATAATTCCAGTATGCTCAATAAATTAACCCAGAGAGCATAGGCTTAGTGTCACACCTTACAATAAGAGGGAAATTATTAATACCAGAAGCATGGAAGCTTGAGTGTGCTTTGGATGGAGCCCTACCTGAGGAGTTAACAGGTGGAAAGAATTAATGGGTGATTATGTAAATACCAATGTTGGAGTTCCCAAGCCAGGTGGCCAGTGAAGATGGGAAAATTGTACTCCACGTTATTTAAGTCATCTAACAACGACCTCCGCCCGGCCGCAGTGTGGAAAATATTTTAATCTTCCGAAGCTATAGTGCCTAATAGGTGTTTAATGTGTCGATATGGGTCAAAAATGTATTTGAAAATGGAATAGAACCAACAGGGAAGCTCTGCGCCTGCGCTTATGGGCAGGGAGAGGTCGAGACGGGGCAGCAGGGAACGGGAGTGTTTGGAATGGAGTTAAGAGGCTGGGAAAACATGGGACCAGGAAATTGGCATTCACGGCGGCCTAAGGATTAATATAGGCCTCACTTCATAATAGGAAGTGTCATAACTGTTCCTGGTGAAGAGTGAGGGAACATGATTTACGGGACCACCGTAATAAAGTGGCAAAATTAGTGAATAATGGTAGGACCGGGGGTGACTGGCGCATTGCCATGGAGTGTGTCTTGGGGAAAAATACCCGTGATTTAATCATTACTCATCGGTCTCAGATCTTAATGGAGTGGCCTCCAATGTGTATAATAATTATGAGACATTAAATCATATGGTGGGCTAAGAAGTAATCAGTGATAATAACACCAAGTTAAGAAAATGTGTTAAGTGAAATGAGTCGCCGTTCTCAGAGTGAGCATCTCTTTACCTCGTGTTCCTGTCCCGAGGATGGTGAAGTTTTTATGGACTCACGACTTCTAAACCGGGACAAACCAACGGGTACCTCGTCCTGCTGGAATAAGAACAGTGTTGGTGTAGCAGGATATCGAAATGAGATGGTGAATGGAGGAAATAAGGAGCATCAATCACCCACAGTTAAGTAACCCTTCTAGTTATAGCAGACTAATACTGGCCAGTTAGGTATGTTGTAATTGGATAGGTTGTGGGTGATCCAGCTACATCAAGTGACCACCAGAGAATATCTGGTAAGTGGTGGGATTATATACAAGTGTTTTTCCTTGATGGATATATCCATGTGTAACCTACCCCCCCCCCCCCTTCATTCAGTTAAACTAATATAATCTATACAGTCCACAATTAATTAGTAGCGCCGTACTTGTGGGTGCTATCCAATTTATACTGGTCTCGGATAGATATGGATAAGATTGTGAGGTCGAAGGGACCACCTGCAGTGACCAGGGGTGGTTAAGTTTTCTCACATGTCTACACGGGGTGACTATGGTAAACAATATGGTTGTTGTCTCCCAATGAGATTACTCGTATGCATGTAATGTTGAGGTACATACAGGTAACCCCCTATAAAATTTTCCATAATCTTATTTTCATTAATAAGATATCTTGACATGTCACTTAGGTTATTATACTGTCTATCTCTGTATTCCTCAACAAGTGGACAATTAAGCAGTGTTCAAGACAGTGACCATATGCTTGACCACATAATTTGCATTTAGTTTGATCATCATCTGTGTCTCTCCCAAACTGCCAGAAGTACTTGTAACCAAGCCTAAGCCTGGGCCACTACAAATTAAGTCAATCTGTTCACATTGCAAGTTGCTCCATAAACATTGTGGGTTATAGATCTACTTAAAGTTCTAACTGCATTCCTATAACATTCATTTTCATTATTTACTTCTCTCCTAATATTATTCTTAATACTAGACACAGATATACCAAAGTTATATTCTACATTCTCCTTCAGGGTACTCTTCTTGGCTAACATATTAACTTTATCACAAGGAGTAATCTAGTGTGTGATGGGATCCATAGCAATAACTTCCTGGAAAACAAATCAAGGCATGTAACCCAAATGCCGTCACTACTATATAAACGAGCAGCTCAAATCCTTTCACCCACCATTGCATTACTCTTCAACAAATCACTGGATACCAACACTTTCCCAGCATCACTCAAGCTAGCAAGGATTACACCAATACACAAAGGTGGTGACCCAATAGATGTAAACAATTGTAGGCCAATATCAAACTTGCCTTTACTTTCCAAAATCTTTGAGAAACTCGTACACAAAAGATTATACTCCTTCATAACATCACAAAGCATCCATAACCCCTGCCAGTTTGGATTCAGGAGAAACAAAAGCACAAATAATGCAATAATAAAAATGTTAGACCTACTTTACACAGCACTGGAAAAAAAATGAATACCTGCTTACTCTCTCTATCGATCTTAAGAAAACTTTTGATACAGCAGATCACAGCATCCTACTCCTCAAGCTTGATCATTACAGTATAAGAGGCCATGCGCTTGCATTTATCAAGTCCTACTTCTCTAATAGAAAATAATACCTCTCTGTCAATGACACAACCTCCTCAACAAGGCCCTGGACACTGGTGTACCACAGGGTAGCATTCTTGGCCCCCCTCCTTTTCCTTTTAGACATCAACGATCTTCCAAGCATATCAGAACAACTTACGCCTATACTCTTTGCCAACGACACGGCTTTTGTCATCTCCCACCCAAATCTAGCCTCACTCAACACTACTGTTAATGAAAAACTTGGAAAAATAGCAACCTGGTTGACCGCCAATAAACTTACTGTTAATATAGATGAAAACTTTTTATATTATGTTTGGGAGTAGAGCAAGTGAGGACCAACTAAACCACCAATGGGTGTTGAAGGAAGAACAGGGGCAGAACTGGATGAAAGCTGGTTTTGCTAGACATAACAGATTGCTCTCTCAATTATGCTAAGGAGATGGTGTTTTTTTAAACAGCAGCTTTGACATGGTTGGCAGATAGGGAACCTTTCAATGCTTCAGATGGAGTTCCAGATATTATGAGCACTGAATTTTCATACATGGGGGGGGGGGGATGTCAGCTTTTTTGTCTTGTTGTGCCTATTAAAAGGAAAAGTTTCAGAAAAAGGCTTATATTGAAAACAAATGTCCTATATACTGCACACACAGTAGTATGAATGCATATTTTGTTTATTAAACAAGTTCAAGTTTTGGGGGGTGTGGTGTCTGCCACTGGAATGGGTAATTGTTTGCACAGCAACTTATAAGTTATTAATGACATTAGGTCATTTTATAGATTCCCATATCCAATTCAATCCCTATGCTTCTACAATACTGTATAACAAATACTGGGGTAGGGCTCTAATCTGACAACTCATAACATGAGCTTAACTCTGGGGTGTCTGACAGGCCAAGCTCAAGCCAACCAAAATTTCCAATAACCTCACAACACTTTTTTTTTTTTTAAATACACTGCCCATCTCCCATAGGGGTAGGATGACCATGAAGCTAAACATTTTCAACATCACTCATTATTACAGTCTTGCAAGAAGCATGCTAATAGTACACCTAAGATGACCCTCTAAACTATATTATCCCTATACATCCTTCAGAGTGCAGGCACTGTACTTCACACTTCCAGGACTCATGTTTGGATAACTGCTTTCCCTGAATCACTTTGTAAATGAGGTCTTGCTCACACTCCAACAACACATCAAATCAAAATAACCACTAACCCCTTTAATCCTTTCTTTCAACCAGCTTGCCACCATGAAGCTCCTCCTATACTACTGCAGATGCCTCTGACTCTCCTTCAAGTGCTACATTCTTTGGGTTTTTGATAGAAGATAAATATCATTGTAATGCAAATATGGGGTTTATGCTGAACACTATAAGGTGGATCATTAAAAAACTTTCAAATACCAATAAATTCTTATTCATAAATCAAGCTTTTAGACTCACTAACTTGATCTTAGGATTTAAAATAAAAAAATTGAGGCATGTAAAGATCTAAACAGGAGTCTTCTGGCAGGGCTGCACCTGCTCTTGTTGCCAACTCCCTAGTTAAGAACAATAATAAATTTGTTGAACTAGGCATAAGAATTAACTGGGCATCTACACTGCAAACTGAACTGCTGGCAATTGTAATGTCTCTTGATTCATATAATGACTCCAACAACATGCTCATTGGAGAAGCCAGGTATAGACTGCAACACTTGTCAGGTATAGATTCTCAAAAGGAATTAATGTACAATTGCTATGGATGCCATCACACATTGCATTACTCCTTCATGATACAGCTGATATGTTAGCCAAGAAGAGTACCCTGAATAAGAATGTAGAATATAACTTTGGGATATCTGTATCTAGCATTAGGAATAATATTAGGAGAAGTAAATAATGAATATGACTGTTATAGAAATGCAGTTAGAAGTCTAAGTAGATCTATAGATAACCCACTATAATAACATGAACATAGATAAGTATGTCTATGGAGCAACTTGCAATGTGAACAGACTGACTGATGTTGTAGTGGCCAGGCTTAGGCTTGGTTACAAGTACTTCTGACAGTTTGGGAGAGATACAGATGATCAAACTAAATGTAAATTATGTGGTCAGGCATATGGTCACTGTCTTGAACACTATGTGCTTAACTGTCCACTTATTGAGGATTACATAGATAGACAGTATAATAACCTATGTGACATGTCAAGATATCTTATTAATGAAAACAAGATACTAGACATACATGTAATAAGTAAATTTCCTAAATTTCCTTGTAACAGATAAGTGAACTGTAGGTATGTAGATATGAATCCAAATGTACACTTGTTAACCCTTTTGGGGCCTAGTTCCTAGGTCTTTTGTGAATCCATATGCTCTTGTGCTACCTTCCACAGGATGGACATGGGGTGCACAAACTAGCAACTTCGGTGGCAAAATCTAAAAATCTAATAAAGGGGATTACGAACAGACCCCTGACTGTCAAGAAGGTGCTAGACAGGCACCTAAAGTCAGTACCTGACCAGCCGGGCTATGGTTAGTACATCAATTTACATGCAGCCAGCAGTAACAGCCTGGTTGATCAGGCTGTGATCCACCACGAGGCCTGGTTACAGACCAGGCCACAGTCGATACACATTCTTTTATACCCACACATAATAACTTTAGTTAAGAATCCTAATAAATATACCCAAAACCAAACTGTCACATTCTTCAACTTTACCATCTTATGCTATCATTACATAAGCATGCATGACCATAACATGTGCGAGCCATTATAACTTTTACACACGTTTATAGCATTCTCTGCCAAAACTTTTATACAAATCGCTATATAATACTAATACACAACGTAAGTACATCACACTGACTTAACTGGGTTAATTAACACCGTATGCATTTATATATCGTAATTCTTTTTATGTAATCAGCAATGAAAGTTACAGTGACTTAACTTATCTTTTTCTACATCAACATTTTATATTTATCATGTGGCCATATTATGCCACAGTCAATTGTGTTCATTACTCTGTTATACAAAGTTTAATAAATTCTTACTTGTTTTGTGTCTGTTGTTGTTTTTCACCTTCAATATACACTGTCAACGTTATCAGGTTTTTTCTCCTGTCAATGACTACATCAGTAGTGATGTATAGTGACTAGTAGGTTGATGTCTGATGTCAATGCAGCTGCTTCTGGTTATGAACAGTGTTGTTCTTGACTCTGCCGAGTGATTTACTGTGTTATTGATGGTATTTAGAAAATTGCCATTACAAGGGTTCTAAATTTTTTTTTAGACATTATACAATGTTAGGTAAATGGACACAGTTGCAACTAATGTGACATTTTATTGCAGCAACACTTGGCTCCTGGAGAGGTCAACATTGCAGCAACACTTGGCTCCTGGAGAGGTCAACATTGCAGCAACACTTGGCTCCTGGAGAGGTCAACATTGCCACAATAAAATGTCACATTAGTTGCAACTGTGTCCATTTACCTAACATTTTGTAAGTAATTCTACAATTATTACTAACATTACACAAGTCTGGGCTGATGGCAATTATCTTACTAACATAACTTCTACTGGGTTAATACTTATGTAGTGGGTACATTACTCCACATAGTCTTCTGTTGTGAAGGGGATTTTCAGGTGGCAAAGTCATGACTGAAGATGGCTTTTGAGTCAAAAAAAAATTATATATCCACCAGCGCTTGAGGTTCTTAAACCTGTATTCCCTGGAACGCAGGCGGGAGAGATACATGATTATATACACCTGGAAAATCCTCGAGGGACTAGTACCGAACTTGCACACGAAAATCTCTCACTATGAAAGCAAAAGACTTGGCAGACGGTGCAACATCCCCCCAATGAAAATCAGGGGTGTCACTAGCACGTTAAGAGACCATACAACAAGTGTCAGGGGCCCGAGACTGTTCAACTGCCTCCCGGCATACATAAGGGGGATTACCAACAGACCCTTGGCAGTCTTCAAGCTAGCACTGGACAAGCACCTAAAGTCGGTTCCTGACCAGCCGGGCTGTGGCTCGTACGTTGGTTTGCGTGCAGCCAGCAGTAACAGCCTGGTTGATCAGGCCCTGATCCACCAGGAGGCCTGGTCACAGACCGGGCCGCGGGGGCGTTGACCCCCAGAACTCTCTCCAGGTAAACTCCAGCAAGCCACAGCCTGGTCCAATGGGCAAACAGCAGACAAAACTGGCCAAAGGCCACACTCTGGAAATATAAAAACTCTCATAATTCAAAGGTACATCAAAGGTAAATATGTACTGTATTGTTAGGTCAACATTGTAACGAATGCAATGTTCAAGTTTATACTTGATCTAAATACCCTGATACACCAATATAGCAAGACTGTGTAGGAAACTAGGTACAATATTTTAGGGATTACAGTTAAAATTTTGTGGATCCCCCCTCTCACACAGGCCTCCAGAACCATGACATCTCACAGAGGCCTCAATGACAATTACCTCTCACATTCACCCCAATGGGAATAAAGAACTGCAATAAAAAAATCAAGGATCCTGATGGAAAATGAAGTCCACAATATGAATCGAGGATCCTACAAGAAAACAAAGACCTCAATGGAAATAAATCTCTGACTTTTTTGGGTTATGGTGGGTAATTTAGATTATGATAATTGTATGTAGCAGTGTGGTGGTGGTGCAGGTTGCATGTGGCAGTGTTATGTACCTCTAATGTTGAGGTACAGTCCCTAGGCCCATTATGTACCTCATCTTTTTGACTACCGCCCACATTATAATCATGGGGGAGCACTTAACCCGTAGGATTATACAGTGCATGGGGGGGGGTAAATGGAAGGCATTCAGACAATTCAGGTAACTAGAGCATGAATTCAATTCCCTAGATCAAGAGCCCCTTACCAACATCAAGGAACCTCCTTTGAGGGACTACTGCCCACAGGATGGGTATGGAGTACATAATATATTACACTAATAGGTCAAATTCACATCCAAATATTTACATTTCTCTTTATACTCCAGGAAAACAATGTACATAGCTTACATATAATAAGACACTGGTAACCACAAAAGGGAGCCACTGGTATGCAATGCATTTCGGGATAATTAAAATTGAACTAAGGGTTATCCTAGGCAAGTTACACTTATGTATGATAATGCGTACCTGTACCTAAAGATACTTTCTTACTAAGGATTAAGACTAGTGATTATTAAGTTCATTCAGGTACACATAAATACATAAATTATCGTACATAGCAGCATGTGTGTTGATTACCTAGGATAACGCAAGAAAGTCAAAGTGACTTATTTTCACTAGGGGGTCCTTGTATTTCCATTATTAAACTATATCATCCTGCATGAAGCACTAAGGCTGCTCATGCCGTCTACCAGGTCAAACCATATTACGACCACTACTATCAAAACTAAGAACTAAACCTGTGGAAAATATTTTAATCTTCCGAAGCTATAGTGCCTAATAGGTGTTTAATGTGTCGATATGGGTCAAAAATGTATTTGAAAATGGACTAAAACCAACAGGGAAGCTCTGCGCCGCCCTGATGGGCAGGGAGAGGTCGAGACGGGGCATCAGGGAGTGGGAGTGTTTGGAATGGAATTAAGAGGCTGGGAAAACATGGGACCAGGAAATCGGCATTCACGGCAGCCTAAGGATTAATATAGGCCTCACTTCATAATAGGAAGTGTCGTAACTGTTCCTGGTGAAGAGTGAGGGAATGTGATTTACGAGACCACCGTAATAAAGTGGTAAAATTAGTGAATAATGGTGGGACCGATGGTGACTGGTGCGCCGCCATGGAGTGTGTCCAAGGGAAAATACCCGTGATTTAATCCTCACTCATCTGTCTCAGATCTTAATGGAGTGACCTCTAATGTGTATAATAATTATGAGACATTAAATCGTCTTGTGAATTGTATAATCAGTGATAATAACACTAAGTTAAGAGAATGCGTGAAGTGAAATAAGTCGCCTTGCTCCAAGTGAACACGTTAGATCTCGTGGTTCCTGTCCCGAGGATAGTGAAGGTTTTATGGAGTCACGACTTGTAAACCGGGACAAACCAACGAATACCTCGTCCTACTGAAATAAGAACCGTGTCGGTGTAGCAGGACATCGAAATGAGTTGGTGAATGGAGGAAATAAGGAGTATCAATCACCCACAGTTAAGTAACCCTTCTAGTTATAGCAAACAGATATTGGCCAGTTAGGTATGTTGTAATTGGACAGGTTATGGGTGATCCAGCTACATCAAGTGACCACCAGAGAATATCTGGCAAGTGGTGGGACTATGTATAAGTGTTCTTCCTTGATGGATATAGCCATGTGTAACCTACCCCCCCCCCTTCCTTCATTCAGTTAAACTAATATAATCTATACAGTCCACAATTAATAAGTAGCGCCGTACTTGTGGGTGCTATCCAATTTATACTGGTCTCAGATAGATATGGATAAGATTGTGAGGTAGAAGGGACCACCTGCAGTGACCAGGGGTGGTTAAGTTTTCTCACATGTCTACACGGGGTGACTACGGTAAACAATATGGTTGTTGTCTCCCAATGAGATTACTTGTATGCATGTAATGTTGAGGTACATACAGGTAACCCCCTATATTATTATTATAATCAAAAAGAAGCTAAGCCACAAGGGCTATACAGCGCTGCAGGGTAGGGAAGGAAGCGAGGGTATTGGATGGCAGAAGGGAGGAGGGATGATCAGTAGGTTACAGAAAACAGCGGGGCAGGGGATAGTACAGGGGTAGAGGGTAGCAAGAGATTGAAGTAGAAAGGGCTGAAGGTATCAGAATTTGTGAAGTCAGTCAGTTGTTGTCAAAAAGTCAATGAGAGAGTCCGGATGAAAGGTGGGTCCATCAGCGAGAAGGGAAGGTAAAGAGAGAGCAGCGGAGTGAAGACGACGACGGAGGTAAATTCTGCATGCTCGTTGATAAAGTGGGCAGTCCAACAGAATGTAGCTGACTGATAATGGAGTTGGCAATTCTCACAGAGAGGAGCAGGACGCCTCTCCATGAGATATCCATCAGCAAGACGAGTATGGCCAATGCGAAGACGGGAGAGAGTAGTCTTCCAACCTCGACACTGGTGATAAGAAGACGGCCAGTAACCTATACTTGGTTTAATAGATTGAAGTTTGTTGCCGAGCATAGTAGACCAACGGTGTTGCCAACGTGTGTGAAGGTGGGAAGATATTGCAGCAAAATAGTCCGTAAATGGAATACCTCTATATGAAACTGGTAGGTCATGTACTGCTGACCGCGCAGCAGTGTCTGCCTGTTCATTGCCCTGTACGTCAACATGACCAGGGACCCAACAAAAAACAATATCTTTATGCTTGGTAAAGATGCGGCGTAGCCAAAGTTGGATACGGAGGACTAAGGGGTGAGGTGTATCAAATTTCTGTATAGCCCGTAAAGCACTAAGGGAGTCTGAGACGACCACAAATGATGACACAGGCATAGATGCAATACGGATAAGTGCTACAAGGATGGCATACAATTCAGCAGTAAAAATACTAGCCGAAGATAGTAAATGCCCTCGTACGACGCTGTCCGGAAACACTGCTGCGAATCCTACGCCGTTAGAAGACTTAGAGCCATCTGTGTACACAGCAATGGCATGAGAATGAGAGTGAAAGTGGTCAAGAAAAAGAGAGCGGGAAGAGACAGTAGACAGTTGGGCTTTCGAGCAAGGGAGAGAGAAAGAACAGACTCGAACAGCTGGAACTTCTCAGTGGGGTAGGGAAAAGTGAGATGCTACATGAACATAGAAAGGTGGTAATTGAAAAGAAGACAAGAGCGAATGAAGGCGAAGAGAGAAGGGACGGAGTAAACAGGGGCGGCGAACAAATAAAGAATGTCTACTAATATCAGTGACCATTCTATAAATGGAAGGATTGCGGAGATCATGAGAGCGTACATAGTAGTGAAGGCAATGGGCATCATGGCGATCGGATAAGGATGGAACGTTCGCTTCTGCATAGAGGCTCTCGACAGGGGAAGAGCGAAAAGCACCAAGGCATAAACGTAATCCTTGGTGATGAATGGGGTTAAGGCTAGAGAGGTAGCAGGAGATGCCGCTGAATAGATCTGGTCACCATAATCAAGTTTCGATAAAATAAGGGTGGAATGTAGGCGAAGGAGGGTTCGACGATCAGCTCCCCATGAAAGATGAACAAGTGTTTTAAGAAGGTTAAGCCGGCTGTGACAAGTTGCCTTCAGAGAGGTAATGTGAGGTTTCCAGGATAACCTACGATCAAAGAGGCCCAGAAACTTGACTATCACGTTCAGGGATACGGGAATCATAGAAGTACAAAGGATGATCGGAGATGACAGAGCGTCTAGTGAAAGTAATTTGGTGGGTTTTAGTGCTGGAAAATTTAAACCCATGTGTGGTGGCCCAATTGGAAACACAGTCGACTGCATGCTGGAGAGAAACTGTAATGAGGTGACAGTCAGCGCCTGCACAGGCAATAGCGAAGTCATCAACATAGAGTGATGACCAAATATTTGATGGAAGACTAGAGGCCAAATCATTAATAGCAAGGAGAAAAAGTGTTGTGCTCAGAACACATCCCTGGGGGACACCTTCAGCTTGGATAAAGTCCGGGGAGAGCACATTATTAACCCGAACACGGAAATGCCTGCCAGTTAAAAAGTTCTCAAGGAAGGATGGCAGATTGCCTCGAAGGCCTAAGGAGTGGGCTTGGGCTAAAATATTATACCTCCAAGTTGTGTCATATGCCTTCTCAAGGTCAAAAAATATGGCAATAACTGAGTGGTTATTCGCAAAGGCATTACGAACATACGTATCCAAGCATAGTAAGGGGTCTATGGTAGAACGTCCCTTACAAAAGCCATATTGACGAGTGGAGAGACTGTTGTGTCTCTAAATACCACACTAAACATCTATTTACTAGGCGTTCCATCACTTTGCAAACTGCACTGGTAAGAGCAATGGGATGATAGTGGGAGGTTTCATGTCCCGTAGTGCCTGGTTTGCGGAAAGGGAGAACAATGGCGGATTTCCACAGCTGTGGAAGAACTCCTTGTGACCAAATAAGATTGTAAAGGCGTAATAGGACTGCAAGGGCTGACTGATGTAAATGTTGTAGCATACGAATGTGAATGTCGTCGGGCCCAGCTGCCGATGATCGGCAAGCTGAGAGTGTTGCCTCCAGTTCTTGAAGTGTAAAAGGCACATTATACTGTTCTTCTCTGAGAGAAGAAAAGTCCAAGGGTGCTAACTCTCTGGCAGACTTTGAGGAAAGAAATGAGGGGCACAGATGGAGTCCCTGAGAAATATGGACCAGATGATTGCCAATTTCATTGGCAACATCTAGTGGGTTTGCTATTTCAACACCGGCAACCCGCAGAACAGGAACCGGGTCAGGAGAATATTTACCACTCAGTGTTTGTACTTTTTTCCAGACTGCACTCAGAGGAAGCAGAGGTGACGGCGGTGACATAATCTCGCCAGCAAGTGCGTTTAGCATCACGGATGACACGGCGAGCGATCGCACACTTCTGCTTAAAATCAAGAAGTCTCTCTGTGGTTCTATTGTACCGGTACCTGCCCCATGCAGCGCGTTTCAAACGTACTGCACGAGCACAAGCAAGAGACCACCAAGGCACGCATTTCTGAGAATGCCTGCCCGAAGTTTGGGGTATAGAATGAGAAGCTGCGGTTAAAACGGAGGACGAGAAGAGGTGTAAAAGCTCATCGATGGAGGACGAAGAAGGAACCTCTCTAAAAACCGTTAGGTGTGAGTAAAGGTTCCAATTTGCCTGATCAAATTGCCAGCGTGGGATGCGAAGAGGTGGTGAATATGAAGGGGAAGTAAGAATGATTGGGAAATGATCGCTGTCATGTAAGTCCGGGAGAACAGACCAAGTGAAGTCTAATGCGGCGGAGGAAGAGCAGACTGAGAGATCGATGCAAGTGTGTGTGAGTCCGAGGATCAAAATGGGTGCGAGTACCTGTATTCAAAACATGGAGGGGGTGGGTGGCAAGAAAAGTCTCTAACTGAATGCCACGGGAATCACAGTGAGACCGCCCCCCAGAGGAAATGGTGGGCATTAAAATCACCAAGTAACAGAATCGGTGGCAGTAATGACGAAACAAGAAAGGCAATATCCGGAATAGATAATGCCCAAGAAGGAGAGAGATATAAAGAACAGAGCGTATACCACCTATGCAAGTGGATACGGGCTGCTGTGTAATGCAGCGAAGTACGAACAAATAGCTGATGGTACGGAATATCAGTGCGTAGAAGAAGGGAACTTTCATTAAAGGTCCCATCAGGAAAAGGATCTGAAGAATTCAATAAATTATAGCCTGAGATGGGAGAGATAACAGCAGAGTGTAATTTTGGTTCCTGTAAGCAAACACCAACAGGGGAAAACTGGGAGAGTAACATCTGAAGCTCACCCCGATTACCCCTGAGGCCGCGTATATTCCACTGTAAATAGGCCATGATTGGCAATGATAAAGATACCTGAAATCCGCAGGTAAGGGTTCCTACGGACTAGAGGGGTTAGAAAAGTCCACATGCAGAGGCAGTGGAAAACGTTCAAGCAGTGAAGGAACGGTGCGCTGTGAAGAAAGGAGTTGCGCAGATGGAGCAGAGGAGAGAGAAGGAGCGGAGGGTGGATCAGTGTCCATTGATGGTTTTGGTCTCTGCAATATATTCAGAGATTGCTTCAATTGCCCTGGGAAATTTCAGAGACGTCGTAGGGGAGACAATATTGGAGATGGTAGGGGGAGGATGAGTAAAGATTGGAACTGAAATTGGACTCTACCAAGGTAGGGGGGGGGGAAAAAAGGGTAGAGGGAACTGGAGAAGCGGGGAAGGAGACAGAAGAGGCAGAAACCGGGGAGGTGACAGAAGAGGAAGAAATTTGGGGAGGGAACAGGGAGGAAGGTACAGTAAGGGGAGGAGGGTGAACCTCTACACTTGAAAACAGAGCCAGGAGACGGGAGAACCAGGTACAGAGACGGGGAAGGTAAAATGAGGAGGTGGAAGATGGGTAGGTTTTTAACGGACCCTTTTTTGACTTTTGAGAAGTAGAGGGACGATTGGAGGAGGGTGTCATACGAGATCTTGTTGCTACTGAGGCTTGTGAGAGAGAACACGAAGAAGCGAGGTCAGACTGAGGCGTTGAAGTAGGGACGTCTGAGCTGAGGACAGCAAAAGAATTAGATACAGGAGTGACTATGGGAGAGGTAACCACAGAGGTGGGTGCAGATGGGATACCAGAAGTGGGGGGACGTTTTGAAACACGGGAATAAGAAACACGAGGTAGTCTCCCTTAAAGGCGGAGATGAGAAACTGCCATGGCATAAGGGACCTTCTGCCTCTTGAGGAATGGATTTCCCGCTCGTTTAAGTAGACTTGAAAAAAGGCAAGAGTACAAAGGGGTGAGCCTCATGACAATTAAGGCAAGGGGCAAGGTCAATTGCAAGACATATTAGAAGGGCCCATCGGCACCACAGACCGGGCATCGGCGATAGATCTGCAATATTTCGTGGATGGCCAAATCACCAGCAATTTCTACACTGTTTTTGGTGTAGGGATCACCTTTCGAACTTGTAACCAATGTCCTGCTACATAAACTAAGGATGGGAGTTCACACTGTCAAAAGTTAAAAAGAGCCACATTGCTAGGGCATCGTCTCCCGCCCGCGGGGAGGAAGAACGTAAGTGTCTTTCCTTGAGTATTGGGAGATCTTGGAGTTCCAGCTGTTCCAGAATGTCAGTGCCACATGTCTGGAAATTTTGTTGAACTATGGTATGGGGCAGAATGACGGTAAACCCCTACAAGAATTGAGGAATGATGTTTTTCAATAGTGAAAAGGAACAGTATCGATATGGGAAAGACAAGAAAACTCATGAGCCGGGGGAGCATTCTGTACGGCGATGATGCGCGTACCGCTCTTAAGAGCATGAAAACAAATATCTTTACCAACATGGCATAGGTGCCTTGCCAATACTGTGGTCAGAAAAAGGGAGGCAGTAGAGGAAGTCAGTCGTAAAGTGAAGAATTTAGTCCCTTGTGCAGTCTGAAACTGAGTGTGGAAAGGTATGAAGGACATGTCATCTTTCTGAGAAGAACGAGAAGGTGGGGAAGTATCATCAGCAGGTAATTGTCATTGGCGTTTAGGCGTGGGACCAGAGTTGGTCCGACGTGGAACGGGTCAGCGATTCGAAAATTGCCGCACCGTAGAGGGAGAGGCCGGAAGCATAGTCAGAGGAGAGCAAAGGTCAGATACATCGAAGGAGTCAGTCGAGGCCTCAGTACCTGAAGCGGGTGAGGAAACAGCACCGGCAAGAGGTACAGAGGCATGAGGAGTGTCCAAAGAGTGGTCCAAAGACGAGGCGGGGTCAGAACGGGGTGCGGTATCAAGAAGGGGCCCGGGGGTAGCAGGTTCATGGACTAGGGCTGCCATGGTTAGGTTACTTTTTTTTTTTCTTAAAAACAAAAAGAAAGAAGAAAAAAGAAAAATAAAAAAAAAGAATAAAAAAAGGGGGGACCGGGGAGGGATAGTTCCTAGGAGGAATGAAAGGGTCAGAAATCTCCCTCCGCGCCCAAGAGGACCTCAGCACAGCAAGTAGCGCAGATGCAGCATGGAACCCGTGCCATACCCTACCCATCATGCCAGTAAACCGGTAATCCGGGATAGCAACCTCACATCTGCCGAGCTACCTCGGTGGACAAAAGAGAGGGCGGCCGGAAATCCGCCACAAAGCATACCTCCTTCGACCACCACCCGGAATCCGAAAGGTGGCTTCCAGAGATACACCCGTCGCCCGAGAGAGACCCAAAGCCACCCTCCGGGATACCGGAGAGGGATCGGGACATCCCCAGGCAATCCAGATTCCACAGCAAACTACGCCACCGCCAAGAACCTCAACGTCATGGGATGGGCCCCGGTACCCTTTCCCCTACCTAGGAACTAGCGTGCCTGTGGGGAAAAAAAAAAAAAAAAAAAAAAAAAAAGGAAGGGCAAAAGGGAGGGATGGGGAGGAGGAGGAGGAAAGGAAAAAGGGGAGGATGGGATAGGGAACGGGGGATTGGGGGGTAATTAGGTTCGGTCTGAGGAAGGAGACCGACAGGTCTAATTCCTCAGACCAAGAGCCTCTTCACCACGCCAAGGAGCCCCCCTTGAAGAGGTAACCCCCTATAAAAATTTTCATAAAACCCACAAGAGATGTCAAATACGTAAGCCCAACATCAAGGAGACAGTTTTTAACGAGTCCATGGACATTGTTCATCAGAATTACGAATAGTATGTAGCAAACGAGTGTCTTTGGGCAAGTGTCCAGGGCGTTTCAAATATCAAGGCTCAAGCCACGTTAACACACAGTAACAAGACTGTGTTAGTCCATTAGTAATTACCAAGTGACAACCATCCCCCTCCCACCAGTAACAACTAATTACTCACCCCAAAATACCCCTCCACCAGCAGCCAACCCCCGGCCCTTTCCCTAACGACCTTCCTTCCTCCCCACAAACAACCATTGACGTCATCACATCCCTCCCCCCAGGTCAATGGCACCATTTAGCCATGGAGGTCAAGAATAGTGGCGCCACTAATCACTCCTCTGCCATCCACCTCCAGCTCCTCCAGTTCCATCAGCCTGTGGTAATGTAAAAAAACTTGGATTACTTCAATTTCATGGCAATTTTTACTAGATCAGCTTTGAAAATATTTCGGCAATTTTTTTTTCTACGAAATGTTGAAGGAAGTATTCTAAATACATAGACTTCAAACTATTGCTTACGGTTCATAAATAATTAGTAATGTCCATACTTTCTTTGCAGACATTGTTTTGGTGTGTTGCAGCTGATGACATCCCTGAAGACTTGCAACTGCCCACAACACGGACTTCACCACACAGCAGCTGCCCACAACACGGACTTCACCACACAGCAGCTGCCCACAACACGGACTTCACCACACAGCAGCTGCCCACAACACGGACTTCACCACACAGCAGCTGCCCACAACACGGACTTCACCACACAGCAGCTGCCCACAACACGGACTTCACCACACAGCAGCTGCCCACAACACGGACTTCACCACACAGCAGCTGCCCACAACACGGACTTCACCACACAGCAGCTGCCCACAACACGGACTTCACCACACAGCAGCTGCCCACAACACGGACTTCACCACACAGCAGCTGCCCACAACACGGACTTCACCACACAGCAGCTGCCCACAACACGGACTTCACCACACAGCAGCTGCCCACAACACGGACTTCACCACACAGCAGCTGCCCACAACACGGACTTCACCACACAGCAGCTGCCCACAACACGGACTTCACCACACAGCAGCTGCCCACAACACGGACTTCATCACACAGCAGCTGCCCACAACACGGACTTCACCACACAGCAGCTGCCCACAACACGGTCTTCACCACACAGCAGGTGTCCACATGGAGAATATCTTCAACCTACAAGATTCGATAAACTTAAAAGCATTAATTAAAATGTAATAATAAAAGTCTATGTAAAATCAAGGGGGTCTAGGTAAGATCAAGACTCTCCCTCCCAAGACTCACGAAATCGTAATGACACGATTGCAAACAAACCATACCACGGGTGGGGTTTGAACCCACGCGCAGTCAGTGTCTCAACCGACCGTCTAGTTTTGAGACACCGACCGTGGGTTCAAACCCCCTCTGTGGTATGGTTTCTCCCTACCAAGATGCTCTAATACAGACTCTGGAGTCGTAAGCGCTAAACCCACATGGTTATGCTACTGAAAATATTTTTGGGACGTCAAAGCATAAAATTACTTGGCCAGGTCCTCTACAACCCTATTGAAAATAGGAAGATGTGGTTAATTTAACATTTTCGAGGAATTATTGATTTTCTGGCTATAATAAATTCTGCCTAAGGAAAATTTATCCCGTCATATGAAGCTAAACCTTTGGTTGTGTTGTTTTAAAAACAGGTTAGACAAATGAGTGGTTAAGATTTCGTTCGGATTTTTAACCTCGGAGGGTTAGCCACCCAGGATAACCCAAAAAAGTCAGTGCGTCATCGAGGACTAACTTATTTCCATTGGGGGTCTTCTATCTTGTCCCCAAGGATGCGACCCACACCAGTCGAGAGTTGGACCTGCCTAGCATGGATCAATGGGCCTGCTTCAGTGCTCTGTCTTAATATATATGCCTGATTTAATAGGCTTTCCTTACACCCGGCATCAAGACCTTTGCCATTACCCTCATCAGTTAGTTTAATATCATTATGCACCCCATACGCATCCTGTGGGCGGTAGTCAAAAGATTACAGAGGTACGTATGGGTCAGAGACTGGACCCCTAAGTTATGATAGCTGAACTAGTTACAGGGGTAATGAACTCCAGGTAGATCTGGTCACAATCATGACAAGTTACAAAGGTAATGAACCATCTACACTCCTATACATGGTTACAACCATGAACAAATTACAAAGTAATCAGCCACTGACACGTCCACACCCGGTCACAACTGTAATGAGTTATAAATACAAATATTAAGTGGGTCATACACCCACACGAGTGCACGCACACTAAATTATCGTAGTATAATTATTAACCCGGTAGATTAACACAGAATTACCCAGTCAAGTATGCCCAAGCTTACTGCAGTGTTCCTCCTTTATGTGAATAGTGCCATTAGATATAAAGTAACATGCCCATTTGTGCCTGGGATCGAATTCCTTTTCTTCAGTTGACGCCACTACCAACTGAGCCATGATATATCATTTACACATTTCATCTTTGCTTCCTACACTCGTGCAGGATGGGCATAGGCTGCGTAATAAAGATATTAGACTAAAACTTCATAAAATCTAATCAGTATTCAGTTCTAAGCTTCACAACTCCAATATTTATTTCCACCCCATTCAAGGTAACCTATAGAATACATTCCTCATTGTTTCCTGGCCAGAGATTTCATCTCTGGTCAGGAGATAAGCTAATACTTCTCACTAAGCTACTTTTGATATCAATGTTAAACCTAAAACCCAATCTAACTTTATTATTTTTTAAATACACTACCTAACAGAATACTCCATATGACTGAATGTACAACAATGCATGCAACCATATGACCTGTCTTTGTAATACTCACTTGTGCTTTATAGTTATCTGTTTACATTAATGTTTTATCACTGATTTCATCATTGCTTAGTTAATCTTAAGTTAATTTTAAGCCAGCCCGTAATGCTATGCATAGTATAAGTGGCTTTGGCATGCTGCTCTTATCTGTATTTTTTTGTACCTCTGTATGTGTGCTCAAATTGTTAATAAATAAAATAAATAAATAAATAAATCTTTCCTATACCTTCTCCACCAGCCTACCACCTAATACAACTACTGTCTGCTTCAATAACCAAACTTCAGTGGACTTGTAACCTGGAAATACCTTAAAAGTGGGCCCCGCCCACCTCTGACAACGTCTCCAGCTGCTGCATCTACATATACCAGGAGTAACCTTCTCCAAGTATAACACTAAAGGTTATGGGTCTGAAAATTTACTAGTGTGGTTGTCTCCACTCCTCAGACTGATCAGTGTTGCAGCAGCCAGCCAGGTGCAGCAATTCCCGCACCTGGAAAATATAGCCATCAACATTACACACAAACACAAACATTATAACCATCAACATATACACAATTACCATTAGTAACATTACTGATATAAACTAACAGTAAAACTCTATTTTCTTTAGTAAATATTTCTTTCACAAACTTGATAACTAACAATTTGTTAACATGGAAGTCTATATCTGGATCACAAGGCGCAAGTTACTTGAATCAAGAGACTTTCACTAAGTTATTTTTCAATAATGGAAAAAAATAGCCCAGAACTACATACACCATTATGGGTTATATAACGCCTAGTGAGTTATTGTTTGATCAGAGGAAAGGGAGTAGCTATAGTTCCTCGCATCAAAACCCCTCCACTAAGGTCGCTCACCCCCCCCCCCGGCCCCCTCCAAGACATTAGACCTCAAAGATAAAACTATTTAAATTATAATTTAGTGACCAAACTGGTGGTGGGGACCAGGAACTGTGGCTCAACTCTGCTGTTGTACTTACAAACAAGTCAATAGACAATACTTACGTTATTTAGGTGTATTAATTAAGGCTGAGGAAGCGGTAACGCCGGCGGGGTAACAGGAGGAGGCGCAACACGTCTCTCCTGTACGACCATTAAAAATTAACTGACTTTTAGTCACCCTGAGGTTGGTAACTGTCCTGACCTTTACTATAACACCATCACTGATAACCTGACTAACGCTGACTACCACCACTAGATAGCACTACTACACCACCACTACTCTTGCCACCAGAGTACTAGTGGTACTATTTTACCACTAGTACTCTACATGTAGGCCAGATTATTGTACCACTAGTACGCTATATAAAGGGCAGATTAATTTAATATTCAAGGAAGTACTAAAATCGTACGGGTCATAATAATAACAAACTGGCCTATGGGTCGTACTCATTTTTCATCATATACAAGTATTATATTCATGGGGAAGTTAATCCAGTAGAAATAGGCCTATTTAGTTATTTTTCTGGCCTATTGATCAGTGTTAAATTCATGTGGAAAATTTAATCCAGTACGGATAGGCCTATTTAGGGAGGTTCCTGCTAGCATATGGGTCAGTATTGCACTCATAGGGGAGACTTAATACGATAGGTTTAGAGAAGCAGCTTGGGTTTCCAGGCAGTTTACCACTGATTTTTTATTGTAATAATAATCAAAGGGTCACCTCGGAAAGTTTTGAGCAAGTAGAAACAGGCCTAAATAAACCTATCCTTGCTGGTATTAAGGTGGTTAATCACACAGTTTCATGATAATGCTTGCAGACGTAATTCTTACCATTATTATTATTATTATTATTATAACAAAACGAAGCGCTAAACCTACTAGGGTCATACAGAGCTGCATAATTCCTACCAGCCTCCTAAGAAAACCCATGTTATATCAGTCCAGGTTAACCTATGGAGACACCTAGTCTGTGAAACCTTTCTCTCGGGAATCTGTGGTAGGGTTCATTAAGAGTCCTCTATCCTACCAGGATAGAGGGGTCATACACCCCCTATGAAGCCCCTCTACCAAGATCCCGGGTATGTCCCAGGTAGAGGTCATACACCCACTGTAAAGACCCTCTACCAAGATCCCGGGTATGTCCCAGGTAGAAGTCATACACCCCCTGTGAAGCCCCTCTTCCAAGATCCCGGCTAAGTTCCAGGCAGGGGTCATACACCCCCTGTGAAGATCCTCTCCCAAGTTCCCGGCTAAGTTCCAGGCAGGGGTCATACACCCCCTGTGAAGACCCTCTACAAAGATCCCGGCTATGTCCCAGGTAGAGGTCATACATCCCCTGTGAAGCCCCTCTACCAAGATCCCGGCTAAGTTCCAGGCAGGGGTCATACACCCCCTGTGAAGACCCTCTACCAAGTTCCCGGCTAAGTTCCAGGCAGGGGTCATACACCCCCTGTGAAGACCCTCTACAATGATCCCGGCTATGTCCCAGGTAGAGGTCATACACCCCCTGTGAAGCCCTTCTACCAAGATCCCGGCTAAGTTCCAGGCAGGGGTCATACACCCCCTGTGAAGACCCTCTACCAAGTTCCCGGCTAAGTTCCAGGCAGGGGTCATACACCCCCTGTGAAGACCCTCTACAATGATCCCGGCTATGTCCCAGGTAGAGGTCATACACCCCCTGTGAAGCCCTTCTACCAAGATCCCGGCTAAGTTCCAGGCAGGGGTCATACACCCCCTGTGAAGACCCTCTACCAAGTTCCCGGCTAAGTTCCAGGCAGGGGTCATACACCCCCTGTGAAGACCCTCTACTAAGATCCCGGCTATGTCCCTGGTAGGGGTCATACACCCCCTGTGAAGACCCTCTACTAAGATCCCGGCTATGTCCCTGGTAGGGGTCATGGGTCATACTCCTCTTAGAATGGCAGTCATTCAGGCTCGATTAAAGGAATTGAATCACAGATCCAATTCTTTACCTCAAGAGCCCCCCACCAGCATCAAGGAACCTCCCTTGAGGAAGGGGGAGTAATTGGCATATTATTATTTTAATCAAAAACTAAGCGCTGAACCCACAAGGGTCATACAGCAGGAAAGTACCATAGCCCCCCCACCCTCTATGGAATGGCTTTTAATCAAGTATGATCCAAGGGAAGGGTAACGCCTACTCACTGAATATTATATTATTATTATCAAAACCAAGCGCTAAACCCACTAGGTTTATATAACACTGCTTTGAATTCTATTAATTAGGAGAAAATGCTAAACCAATAGGAGGTCAGATAGCATTTTATTACATGGGTTAAGAGCCCTTTACTAGTGGTAAAATAATCTGCCACTCTAGCCTTCAAGATTATTTTAGTTTATCGAGTTCAATACGAGGGAGGAAATTTTATTACCACTGCATTCACAGGTAAGAACTAAACCCGGAGGAATCATATAATACCTGGGAGAATGGGAGTCATTTAGGCATAATCCAAGCAAGGTTACATCCAGTTCCTTGCATCAAGAGCCCCTCACTGGCATCAAGGAATCTCTCTTGAGAGGTTTCTGTCCTCAAAGTTATTTATGTCTTCAAATTTTGTTATTTTGACTTCGTTTCCAATGATCAGTGATAATATATATATATATATATATATATATATATATATATATATATATATATATATATATATATATATACGGTCCACCTCTGGTGTAAATTGTGGGACCCATAGCCTCGGAGAAGTGGATAAAAAGGCTTCGAGGAAGAATATTTGGATTTCTTCCTGAAGCCGTTTGAATATTCCACTTCCCCTACCACCCCATCTTTTCATTTTTTACCAATAGGTATATTTTATTACATAATATGGTGAAGATTTAAGAGATACATTGCTGATACAAAGATGGCATATACAGTACATGGGGTGTGAGAGATATATGTCTAATACATATTGTTACGTGTTTGTCACTGATTATAATGCGAAAGTCTCATCCAACTCTTCAGAGCTGGGGTGCGTGCCCAAAATACAGCAGGCATTACCCCTATGAACAGCCGCACTGAGTCGCTGGAACAGAAAACTAGCTGCCCTGGGATCCGTAGTTACCCTGATGAGTCTTTTTCCAGCTCCTTAAGGAACTTAGATGCACTCTTTTCCCATGAGCCAAGGGTCTCCGAGCCTATGGGAACAAACATATAATGATGGGCAAGTTCTCCATATTTTCTAGACTTTTGGGACTCCCTGAAGCAGGCGGCTGCCCCTCCTTCCTCACTGGTGTATTGGAGATAGGTATCAGCCAAGGTAGATGCACATGTGTAGTCCCACACCACCTGCTTACCGTTTGTCCAGGCTTAAAGGGTGATACCATCTGGACGCTTCTGGCCGCCATCAGATCTGCATAGTTGGGATGGCTCCCTTACTGCTGGGCATCAGGCTGTTGTGAGGCTCCTCTTGATAATGTTATTAACCTCCTCATGTCTTGCACTCTTTCCCTCGGATTTACGGCACACAAGACCATGGTACCAGAATAGGTCTGCTGCTCCACTGCCACAAATGCATCTGTGTTCGGCGAGAATTGGGGCGGCAAGTTGAAGGGCAACATCAATGCGGATGGTCTGGGTCGAGGCGTGTGCCAAGGCTGGAGCTGGGAACGGCCAACAGAAAGTCCCCTGCATGAGGGGCTCTCACTGCAAGGAGGCGGGCTCTGTCCTTCCCTGACACACTCTGAAGCATTGTTGAGGCTATATTTTCCACTACTGGGGCATTCCAGTGCGACTGTTTGTAGTTGTTGGGGGCAGCAGGTCTGGTTTCAGAGCCCGTTAGACGATCCCAGATCATGGCTCTATCAATGAACTTTTGGTCCTGGACTCCAAACTTATCCCTAAGATGTTGAGAGAGAATCGCTGCTACAAGCCCTCTGGATGCAACACATGAGGACAGAAAAGCAGATATATTATATATATATATATATATATATATATATATATATATATATATATATATATATATATATATATATATATATTATATTATATTATATATATATATATATATATATATATATATATATATATATATATATAATTAATATATATATATATATATATATTATATATATATATATATATATATATATATATATATATATATATATATATATATATAAACATTAAGAATCTTTCTCTCGGACTCTATCTCTAAGGCTAAGCTTTTCTTTACTTTTTTTAGTTTAAATCAGACAGTATATGAGTTTTAAATAGTCACAAAGGTAAATAAAAGATTATATAAGGTATATAAAGGAACTTTATTTTACAGTATATACAGTATGAACGGAAAATACCAAAATATTTGACGATGTGTAGCCTAATAAACTTGGACTTCAGTGTAGCCTACTATAGTTGGACTCCAGCGTAGCTTACTATAGTTGGACTCCTGCGTAGCCTACTATAGTTGGACTCCAGTGTAATCTATATAGTTGACTCACAAGCCTATAAGTGATCAGCGTATTTCTATAGTTGGATCTGCGTAGCGTCCTAACTTGGCTCAGTGTAGCCAACTTAGTAGGACTTCCAGCGTAATTTATTTAGCTGAATCAAGCGTAGCTCGTATAGTTTGATCAGTAATCTACTATAGTAGACTCATAAGCTACTATAGTCGGATCAGCGTAGCTACTATAGTGGGAACTCCACGTGCTTACTAAAGTTGGACTCAGCCAAGCTACTATATGACCAAATAGCCTAAAATATTTGGACCCATGCTAGCCTATAGTTGGACTCCAGCGTAGCCTACTATAGTTGGACTCCACGTGCTACTATAGTTGAACTCCAACGTTGCCTACTATAGTTGGACTCCAGCATAGCCTACTATAGTTGGACTCCAGCATTAGCCTACTATAGTTGGACTCCGTGTTGCCTATCAGTTGGATCGAGTAGCTTACTATAGTTGGACTCCAGCTAACCCTATATAGTTGGACTCCAGTGTAGCCTACTAAAGTTGGACTCCAGAGTAGCCTTACTATAGCTGGACTCCAGCGTTGCCTACTATAGTTGGACTCCAGCATAGCCTACTATAGTTGGACTCCAGCGTAGCCTACTATAGTTGGACTCCAGCGTTGCCTACTACAGTTGGACTCCAGCGTAGCCTATTATAGTTGGACTCAGCAGTAGCCTACTAAAGTTGGACCAGCATAGCCTAATATAGTTGGACTCCAGCCTAGCCTATAGTTGGACTCCAGCGTAGCCTACTATAGTTGGACTCCAACGTTGCCTACTATAGTTGAACTCCAACGTTGCCTACTATAGTTGGACTCCAGCATAGCCTACTATAGTTGGACTCCAGCATTGCCTACTATAGTTGGACTCCAGTGTTGCCTACTACAGTTGGACTCGAGTAGCCTACTATAGTTGGACTCCAGCATAACCTACTATAGTTGGACTCCAGTGTAGCCTACTAAAGTTGGACTCCAGAGTAGCCTACTATAGCTGGACTCCAGCGTTGCCTACTATAGTTGGACTCCAGCATAGCCTACTATAGTTGGACTCCAGCGTTGCCTACTATAGTTGGACTCCAGCGTTGCCTACTACAGTTGGACTCCAGCGTAGCCTATTATAGTTGGACCAGAGTAGCCTACTAAAGTTGGACTCCAGCGTAGCCTACTATAGTTGGACCAGCGCAGCCTACTAAAGTTGGACTCCAGCGTAGCCTACTATAGTTGGAACAGCGTAGCCTACTATAGTTGGACTCCAGCGTTGCCTACTACAGTTGGACTCCAGCGTAGCCTACTATAGTTGGACTCCAGCGTTGCCTACTACAGTTGGACTCCAGCGTAGCCTACTATAGTTGGAACAGCGTAGCCTACTATAGTTGGACTAGCGTAACCTACTACAGTTGGACTCCAGCGTAGCCTACTATAGTTGGACTCAAGTGTAGCTTAATATACTTGGACTTGTATGTCCTCCGCCGGGATTATACAAATAATCTCGTACTATTACAATATTTATTTTGAAGTGGTAAGAGCATAGGGGCCATATACAGCGCCTGGGGAATGTCAGGTATTCAAGTTTGATCTGAGGAAGCGCTAAAACGTAGGGAGGGATCATACAGCACATTGAGAGTGAAAGATAATCAGATTTGATCCATGGAAGAAGATATTTCCAATTCCTTGGATCAAGAGCCCTTCATCATCAATGCACCTCCACTGAAGGGCTTGGATCAAGAGCCCTCAGCAACATCAGGACACCTGCTTGAGAAACTTTCATGATAGTGTCACTCCTCCGTGAGTGACACTATCACCAGACAAACAATATGGCAGATGAATTATACACCAGAGCATTCACTGACTTTATTTTGGACTGAAGTCTATAAATTACTCACTCATTAAAGCTGAGTGTTAACCACCACTCAAGAAATATTCACTCCCAGTGTTCCTTCAGTGGTGTTGAGTGTCACGAGTTAACCACCACTCAAGAAATATTCACTCCAGTGTTCCTTCAGTGGTGTTGAGTGTCACGAGTTAACCACCACTCAAGAAATATTCACTCCCAGTGTTCCTTCAGTGGTGTTGAGTGTCGCGAGTTAACCACCACTCAAGAAATATTCACTCCCAGTGTTCCTTCAGTGGTGTTGAGTGTCGCGAGTTAACCACCACTCAAGAAATATTCACTCCCAGTGTTCCTTCAGTGGTGTTGAGTGTCGCGAGTTAACCACCACTCAAGAAATATTCACTCCCAGTGTTCCTTCAGTGGTGTTGAGTGTCACGAGTTAACCACCACTCAAGAAATATTCACTCCCAGTGTTCCTTCAGTGGTGTTGAGTGTCACGAGTTAACCACCACTCAAGAAATATTCACTCCCAGTGTTCCTTCAGTGGTGTTGAGTGTCACGAGTTAACCACCACTCAAGAAATATTCACTCCCAGTGTTCCTTCAGTGGTGTTGAGTGTCACGAGTTAACCAACACTCAAGAAATATTCACTCGCAATGTTCCTTCAGTGGTGTTGAGTGTCGCGAGTTAACCACCACTCAAGAAATATTCACTCCCAGTGTTCCTTCAGTGGTGTTGAGTGTCGCGAGTTAACCACCACTCAAGAAATATTCACTCCCAGTGTTCCTTCAGTGGTGTTGAGTGTCGCGAGTTAACCACCACTCAAGAAATATTCACTTCCAGTGTTCCTTCAGTGGTGTTGAGTGTCACGAGTTAACCACCACTCAAGAAATATTCACTTCCAGTGTTCCTTCAGTGGTGTTGAGTGTCACGAGTTAACCACCACTCAAGAAATATTCACTCTCAGTGTTCCTTCAGTGGTGTTGAGTGTCGCGTGTTAACCACCACTCAAGAAATATTCACTCCCAGTGTTCCTTCAGTGGTGTTGAGTGTCGCGAGTTAACCACCACTCAAGAAATATTCACTCCCAGTGTTCCTTCAGTGGTGTTGAGTGTCGCGAGTTAACCACCACTCAAGAAATATTCACTCCCAGTGTTCCTTCAGTGGTGTTGAGTGTCGCGAGTTAACCACCACTCAAGAAATATTCACTCCCAGTGTTCCTTCAGTGGTGTTGAGTGTCACGAGTTAACGACCACTCAAGAAATATTCACTCCCAGTGTTCCTTCAGTGGTGTTGAGTGTCACGAGTTAACCACCACTCAAGAAATATTCACTCCCAGTGTTCCTTCAGTGGTGTTGAGTGTCGCGAGTTAACCACCACTCAAGAAATATTCACTCCCAGTGTTCCTTCAGTGGTGTTGAGTGTCACGAGTTAACCACCACTCAAGAAATATTCACTCCCAGTGTTCCTTCAGTGGTGTTGAGTGTCGCGAGTTAATCACCACTCAAGAAATATTCACTCCCAGTGTTCCTTCAGTGGTGTTGAGTGTCACGAGTTAACCACCACTCAAGAAATATTCACTCCCAGTGTTCCTTCAGTGGTGTTGAGTGTCACGAGTTAACCACCACTCAAGAAATATTCACTCCTAGTGTTCCTTCAGTGGTGTTGAGTGTCACGAGTTAACCACCACTCAAGAAATATTCACTCCCAGTGTTCCTTCAGTGGTGTTGAGTGTCGCGAGTTAACCACCACTCAAGAAATATTCACTCCCAGTGTTCCTTCAGTGGTGTTGAGTGTCACGAGTTAACCAACACTCAAGAAATATTCACTCCCAGTGTTCCTTCAGTGGTGTTGAGTGTCACGAGTTAACCACCACTCAAGAAATATTCACTCCCAGTGTTCCTTCAGTGGTGTTGAGTGTCACGAGTTAACCACCACTCAAGAAATATTCACTCCCAGTGTTCCTTCAGTGGTGTTGAGTGTCACGAGTTAACCAACACTCAAGAAATATTCACTCCCAGTGTTCCTTCAGTGGTGTTGAGTGTCACGAGTTAACCAACACTCAAGAAATATTCACTCCCAGTGTTCCTTCAGTGGTGTTGAGTGTCACGAGTTAACCAACACTCAAGAAATATTCACTCCCAGTGTTCCTTCAGTGGTGTTGAGTGTCACGAGTTAACCAACACTCAAGAAATATTCACTCCCAGTGTTCCTTCAGTGGTGTTGAGTGTCACGAGTTAACCAACACTCAAGAAATATTCACTCCCAGTGTTCCTTCAGTGGTGTTGAGTGTCACGAGTTAACCAACACTCAAGAAATATTCACTCCCAGTGTTCCTTCAGTGGTGTTGAGTGTCACGAGTTAACCAACACTCAAGAAATATTCACTCCCAGTGTTCCTTCAGTGGTGTTGAGTGTCACGAGTTAACCACCACCTCAGTAGATAAACATTATGAAGCTTTATTTTCTTTAGGGGGTTTCAATCTATTGATATTCAAATTACTCTTAGGTTTCTACTAATAAGAACCTCAATCCTTTAAAAATATTTATACAAAATTCAAACTCATTCAGGTGTTCCTTATAAATGTTCCGGTCCTTAAAAGGCGTTTTTAACACACACACACACACACACACACACACACACACACACACACACACACACACACACACACACACACACACACACACACACACACACACATAAACACACACATAAACACCTTGAATAAAGAATCTTTCACAACCTTATATACACCACATGTTGAGACAATCATTGAGGTTGCAGTCCCACCATGGAACCCTCACCTATTAATAAAGCAGGTGAAGGGCGTAAAGATCAAAGAGTTTACAACATGACTGGTACCAAAACTAAGGGAGATGCACTATGAGGAAACGTTGATGTAAACCTGACGACCTTGGCAGAGAGGGAAAAGAAAGATATGATTACGACATACAAAATCATGAGAAGGACAGATACAGCAGATAGGGACAGACTGATTGAATTAAAATAACCAGGATCAACGGGGGCACAGGCGGAAGATGAAAACACAGATGAGTCCTAGGAATGATTGAGACTTGGATGAGGCAGTGGTGGAAGCAAACTTATTACACAGCTACAGGAGAAGATATTTTAAGGCCCAAAAGGCCAGAAGTAGAGATCAAAGCAGCCTGGGAGGCAGGTCCAGGAACTGAGTTTTGATCCTCGCAAACACAAGAGTACAAACCGGTGAGAACACACACACACACACACACACATACACACACACACACACACACACACACACACACACACACACACACACACACATACATACATACACACACACACACACACAGCTATGACTCGACCCCTGAAACCACAATGAGGCGAGTACATAGTTTAACGAACAGGTACGATAGGGCCCACGAGGCTACGAGGGAGTGAACACGGCAAGTGGCAAGAAAAGAGAGGAGGGGCCAGGAGCTGAGAATCGACCCTTGCAACCATAAGTGGGTGAGTACACACACACACGCCCTCAAATAACTCCGCTTCGCAAGAGTCCGGATAAAGGGGCATCCCAGAACAGCAGCAGCAGAGGCAGCAGCGAGTGCAGCAGGAGGGTGTGGCTGGTGGATAAGACTATGGTAGCTGATCCTCCGCTTGTCTGCATCGCTGCTGGAGTTTCCCCTGAATATAGAAAAAAATGATTACCAAAACTGTCCTTTAAAAACAAGCCGAAAGTAATTATTTTGAAGTAGGAGATAGTCGCTGAAGCTGGCGTAAGACACTAGAATATCTCAGTACATTTAAACTAAGCCAAATAATAACCCTTATACACCAAATTTACAAATGATTTAGTAAGCAGTGAGTACATATATCAGAAATGTCAAACTATACTAACAAGATACCATCATCGCTAATTATCAGTAGTATCTTAGGATGTTATTGTGTAGTGATGAACATGATACCATACTTGGAGAGGGTTTCGGGGGTCAACGCCCCCGCGGCCCGGTCTGAGACCAGGCCTCATGGTGGATCAGAGTCTGATCAACCAGGCTGTTACTGCTGGCCTCATGTAAACTGACGTACGATCCCCAGCATGGCTGATCAAAAGTATCTTAATATGTCAATGTGTAGTGATGAACAGGATACCATCTGTAGTATCCTAGTATGTTACTCCGCTAATATTTATTTCCATGAACGGAGATGTTTAGTTACCATCACATCTCATAACGTGGTATTTAATTTTATTTTTACGAAGAGGATCAGTAAGCCAGCGGAAGACTTCAGTCAACTGACCAAAACCTACACTGAATGGGTCATCACATGACTAACATCCACATCAAGAAAATTTTTACCATAAATAACAGTATATAAAATACTAATGCAAACCCTACTGGGTGAGATAAATAGTGAAAAGTGTCTGTATGTATGAGGATCGCCCTAGCTACTCCACAACCACATACCATCCTTTCCTACGTACATTTATCACAATTGTGACAATAGTGCAACCTTTGGATATCAGTGGCTTCTTTAGTGGCGGACCTACATTTTTGGTCCCTGAAGTGTTAACTGTTATGGGGTCCCTGAAGTTTGAACTGTTATGGGGTCCCTGAAGCTAGAACTGTTATGGGGTCCATGTAGTTTGAACTGTTATGGGGTCCCTGAAGTTTGAACTGTTATGGGGTCCCTGAAGCTAGAACTGTTATGGGGTCCATGTAGTTTGAACTGTTATGGGGTCCCTGAAGTTTGAACTGTTATGGGGTCCATGTAGTTTGAACTGTTATGGGGTCCCTGAAGTTTGAACTGTTATGGGGTCCCTGAAGTTTGAACTGTTATGGGGTCCCTGAAGCTTGAACTGTTATGGGGTCCCTGAAGCTTGAACTGTTATGGGTCACCTTTACCAATAACAACTAGGCCTACAACAGCTAGGCCTATAACATACTATAATAACCTTTTAATTTTTATTTTAACTATTATTTTGTAATGAATTACACTATATAACTAAAATTATTATTATTTAAAAACCTTTTCTTACAATAGACTCAAAATTTTTAAGCAATGTGGACTAAAGTGGCTTCAGGGGCCCCTCCGGGATTAGGGGCCCCTCCGGGATCAGGGGCCCCTGGGCTTCTTCAGCTCAATACAGAGAAAAGTGGATGAGGAGGATGAGGTAATGAGTCCCTCAGCCTGGAGTCAATGTGTTCAGTCCATCAATCTTGTCAGTTTTGTAAAACATTTAGTCACATCACAACTGTACACCAACTATGAGGAAATTACAATAATTGACCAATAAACTATTACCTTAAGGGGAAACGTTAGGACACCCCGCTATTAAAACACATGTGATTGTGATTATTATAAACTGTGTGTCTCAAAATTATTGATATTCCAATATTCTTGAACTGGATATTTCCACGGTCATGAACATATACAGCTCACATAGTTGCAACACTGACATCACTGCCTATTATTATGAATTGCAAAATGTCTATATATTATATCTCATCGAATCCTAAACTGGAGTATTCTAAGAGCATGACATGTGACAGCGGGGAAAGTGGACAGTAGATCCGTGGTAGGCACACATGGTGCCAGAGATTCGTGGTAGGCACAGGTGGTGCCAGAGATCCGTGGTAAGCATATATGGAGCCAGAGATCCATGGTGGGCAGAGATGGAGCCAAAGATGTGGTCACAACTATAGTCCTAAGTGGCATCTTAAATGACTCAGTGATTTCTATCAGTGTTGTTAGTCAACTAATAATCTAGATCAGTCCCAGAGAAATCCCCAGACGCAGTACTCATATAATAAATATTGTTTTGACCACAAATGTTGATCAAAGACGTTCACGTGAGGTGAGGGATAAGTTAAGACAGTATCCACAATGTAACTGATTCAAACTAAACAAACATGGAGATGTAAAACTGTACAATGAAGCTTCCCAACTATACAATAACAGGTTCTGAGATATGTTCAGATGTGTGTAACGCAGCCCGGATCACAAACCTCATCAAATATACACAAAAATGTTAAATAAATTTTCAAAAGTAATTCCTTCTCTCTTCCCCTATGTGCATCCTCCTACTTCTTTCCCTTTCTCTCTCTTTATCTTCCTACCTTCTCTCGCTCTTAACCCTCCCTATCCCTATACCCCTCACCTTCTCTCCCTCTTCCATTACCCCTTCTCCCTCTTCGCCAACACTCACCATTGAGGACGTGAACTCTGAGAGTGGTAGCGGCAGTGTTGGAGGGAGCACAAGAGTAGTTCCCAGTGTCTGAAGCCCTGGCATCCTGTAATTAAGTTTACGTACCTACAGTTTTACATAGTTTTGGATTATTATAATTGTCTTACATAGTAACACATGTAATCACCCAGAATAACCTAAAATAAAAAGTCAAATTGACTCTCCACTGGAGTGCTTGTCACTGGCTGTATTATGAATTTACTGTATAAGCCACAGACTAAATTACTGGTTTACGGTATATCTCACAGGTTACTTTATTACTGTATATAATATATTCTACTGGTTGTATCTTTGCTATAACAGGCTGTAGAAATTCCTGCAAAGTAACGAAACTCAGCAGATACATTAGGTATAAGTAAAGCTATTATTATGGAAGGGGTTAAGGCGACGTTGAAGAGTTTTATTTAACGACGTTTTATTTAACAATATCGTGTGGACCACACGATATTGTTGTAATGTTCTTATGATTAAAGAAATGCAGTTTAAGTTTCATGGGTAAACACGGCAATAAAAATGTATTTGTTACAAGAAAAAAAATGATAGTTCTCTGTACCAATGACGAGGTGCATTATTATTGTAATCCTTATAGAGAATAAACTTTGAATTTGAATTGAATTGAATTGAATTGAATTATTATTATTATTATTATTATTATTATTACAGGTAGTAGGTTGGTAGACAGCAACCACCCAGGGAAGTACTACCGTCCTGCCAGATGACTGTGAAACAGAAACCTGTAACTGTTTTGCATGATGGTAGGATTGCTGGTTTCTTTTTCTATCCCATAAACACGCTAGATAACAGGGATATCTTGCTACTCCTACTTACACTTTGGTCACACTTCACAGACACGCACATGCATATATATATACATACATCTAGGTTTTTCTCCTTTTTCTAAATAGCTCTTGTTCCTCTTTATTTCTTCTATTGTCCATGGGGAAGTGGAAAAGAATCTTTCCTCCGTAAGCCATGCGTGTCGTATGAGGCGACTAAAATGCCGGGAGCAATGGGCTAGTAACCCCTTCTCCTGTAGACATTTACTAAAAAAGAGAAGAAGAAAAACTTTATAAAACTGGGATGCTTAAATGTGCGTGGATGTAGTGCGGATGACAAGAAACAGATGATTGCTGATGTTATGAATGAAAAGAAGTTGGATGTCCTGGCCCTAAGCGAAACAAAGCTGAAGGGGGTAGGGGGTTTCGGTGGGGGGAAATAAATGGGATTAAATCTGGAGTATCTGAGAGAGTTAGAGCAAAGGAAGGGGTAGCAGTAATGTTGAATGATCAGTTATGGAAGGAGAAAAGAGAATATGAATGTGTAAATTCAAGAATTATGTGGATTGAAGTAAAGGTTGGATGCGAGAAGTGGGTCATAATAAGCGTGTATGCACTGGAGAAGAGAGGAATGCAGAGGAGAGAGAGAGATTTTGGGAGATGTTAAGTGAATGTATAGGAGCCTTTGAACCAAGTGAGAGAGTAATTGTGGCAGGGGACCTGAATGCTAAAGTAGGACAAACTCTTAGAGAGGGTGTGGTACGTAAGTTTGGGGTGCCAGGTGTAAATGATAATGGGAGCCCTTTGATTGAACTTTGTATAGAAAGGGGTTTTAGTTATAGGTAATACATATTTTAAGAAAAACAGGATAAATAGTATACAAGATATGATGTAGGGCGAAATGACAGTAGTTTGTTGGATTATGTATTGGTAGATAAAAGACTGTTGAGTAGACTTCAGGATGTACATGTTTATAGAGGGGCCACAGATATATCAGATCACTTTCTAGTTGTAGCTACACTGAGAGTAAAAGGTAGATGGGATACAAGGAGAATAGAAGCATCAGGGAAGAGAGAGGTGAAGGTTTATAAACTAAAAGAGGAGGCAGTTAGGGTAAGATATAAACAGCTATTGGAGGATAGATGGGCTAATGAGAGCATAGGCAATGGGTTCGAAGAGGTATGGGGTAGGTTTAAAAATGTAGTGTTAGAATGTTCAGCAGAAGTTTGTGGTTACAGGAAAGTGGGTGTGGGAGGGAAGAGGAGCGATTGGTGGAATGATGATGTAAAGAGAGTAGTAAGGGAGAAAAAGTTAGCATATGAGAAGTTTTTACAAAGTAGAAGTGATGCAAGGAGGGAAGAGTATATGGAGAAAAAGAGAGAGGTTAAGAGAGTGGTGAAGCAATGTAAAAAGAGAGCAAATGAGAGAGTGGGTGAGATGTTATCAACAAATTTTGTTGAAAATAAGAAAAAGTTTTGGAGTGAGATTAATAAGTTAAGAAAGCCTAGAGAACAAATGGATTTGTCAGTTAAAAGTAGGAGAGGAGAGTTATTAAATGGAGAGTTAGAGGTATTGGGAAGATGAAGGGAATATTTTGAGGAATTGTTAAATGTTGATGAAGATAGGGAAGCTGTGATTTCGTGTATAGGGCAAGGAGGATCAACATCTTGTAGGAGTGAGGAAGAGCCAGTTGTGAGTGTGGGGGAAGTTCGTGAGGCAGTAGGTAAAATGAAAGGGGGTAAGGCAGCCGGGATTGATGGGATAAAGATAGAAATGTTAAAAGCAGGTGGGGATATAGTTTTGAAGTGGTTGGTGCAATTATTTAATAAATGTATGGAAGAGGGTAAGGTACCTAGGGATTGGCAGAGAGCATGCATAGTTCCTTTGTATAAAGGCAAAGGGGATAAAAGAGAGTGCAAAAATTATAGGGGGATAAGTCTGTTGAGTATATCTGGCAAAGTGTATGGTAGAGTTATTATTGAAAGAATTAAGAGTAAGATGGAGAATAGGATAGCAGATGAACAAGGAGGCTTTAGGAAAGGTAGGGGGTGTGTGGACCAGGTGTTTACAGTGAAACATATAAGTGAACAGTATTTAGATAAGGCTAAAGAGGTCTTTGTGGCATTTATGGATTTGGAAAAGGCGTATGACAGGGTGGATAGGGGGCAATGTGGCAGATGTTGCAGGTGTATGGTGTAGGAGGTAGGTTACTGAAAGCAGTGAAGAGTTTTTACGAGGATACTGAGGCTCAAGTTAGAGTATGTAGGAAAGAGGGAAATTATTTCCCAGTAAAAGTAGGCCTTAGACAAGGATGTGTGATGTCACCGTGGTTGTTTAATATATTTATAGATGGGGTTGTAAGAGAAGTAAATGCGAGGGTCTTGACAAGAGGCGTGGAGTTAAAAGATAAAGAATCACACATAAAGTGGGAGTTGTCACAGTTGCTCTTTGCTGATGACACTGTGCTCTTGGGAGATTCTGAAGAGAAGTTGCAGAGATTGGTGGATGAATTTGGTAGGGTGTGCAAAAGAAGAAAATTGAAAGTGAATACAGGAAAGAGTAAGGTTATGAGGATAACAAAAAGATTAGGTGATGAAAGATTGGATATCAGATTGGAGGGAGAGAGTATGGAGGAGGTGAATGTATTCAGATATTTGGGAGTGGACGTGTCAGCGGATGGGTCTATGAAAGATGAGGTGAATCATAGAATTGATGAGGGGAAAAGGGTGAGTGGTGCACTTAGGAGTCTGTGGAGACAAAGAACTTTGTCCTTGGAGGCAAAGAGGGGAATGTATGAGAGTATAGTTTTACCAACGCTCTTATATGGGTGTGAAGCATGGGTGATGAATGGTGCAGCGAGGAGAAGGCTGGAGGCAGTGGAGATGTCATGTCTGAGAGCAATGTGTGGTGTGAATATAATGCAGAGAATTCGCAGTTTGGAAGTTAGGAGGAGGTGCGGGATTACCAAAACTGTTGTCCATAGGGCTGAGGAAGGGTTGTTGAGGTGGTTCGGACATGTGGAGAGAATGGAGCGAAACAGAATAACTTCAAGAGTGTATCAGTCTGTAGTGGAAGGAAGGCGGGGTAGGGGTCGGCCTAGGAAAGGTTGGAGGGAGGGGTAAAGAAGGTTTTGTGCGAGGGGCTTGGACTTCCAGCAGGCATGCGTGAGCGTGTTTGATAGGAGTGAATGGAGACAAATGGTTTTCAATACTTGACGTGCTGTTGGAGTGTGAGCAAAGTAACATTTATGAAGGGGTTCAGGGAAACCGGCAGGCCGGACTTGAGTCCTGGAGATGGGAAGTACAGTGCCTGCACTCTGAAGGAGGGGTGTTAATGTTGCAGTTTAAAAACTGTAGTGTAAAGCACCCTTCTGGCAAGACAGTGGTGGAGTGAATGATGGTGAAAGTTTTTCTTTTTCGGGCCACCCTGCCTTGGTGGGAATCGGCCAGTGTGATAATAAAATAATAAATTATTATTATTATTATTACTATATTAATGAGGAACCCATACGGGTCGTAGAGCACCAGGAAACAGAAAACAATCAGTATACGTACTGTACTCTCTATAGGTTATTATTGTTATACTCCACAAACTATCTTATACACTTCTTTAAGACTCTTAATACTTCGTAAGCTATGTTAATTTCATACATATTCCTTGTGATATATTATTGGTATACACTGTACTTGGTGAACAAAATTAAGTGGAACAGAATTTCTCCTCCGTAAGCCATGTGTGTCGTAAGAGGTAACTAAAATGTTGGGAGCAAGAAGCTAGTAACCTCCTTCTCCTGTATAAATTACCAAATTTACAAAGAAGAAACAATTACGCTTCTTTTCCGCGTCACTAAGCGTCAGTGAGAAATGACCGGAGTGATATAAAAAATAACTGTGGGCAATATTATAGGAAAACTATACTCCACTGATTATATCATTAGTATATGTTCACATGTCGAGATATATTATTGTTGTATTGTATCCTCCATGTATTATGTTGTATTATACGTATTGTTGCAAAATTTTATCTACATTGCCTTACTGATATACTGTGTTTACACTATCATTCATTTTTCAATATATTATCTCTCTCTCTTTCTCTCTCTCTCTCTCTCTCTCTCTCTCTCTCTCTCTCTCTCTCTCTCTCTCTCTCTCTCTCTCTCTCTCTCTCTCTCTCTCTCTCCACCTGTATCAGCAGGTATCCTCGGGTAGTAGTTCCTCTCTCCGTCACTACGGTAATCCCGCCTCTTGGAGAGTCATAGTTCACCACCTGGGAAAGAAAATAACCAAACTTTACTTGTGAGCCTAACTCCAGGTGGTTCATCAGTTCACCACCTGGGAAAGAAAATAACCAAACTTTACTTGTGAGCCTAACTCCAGGTGGTTCATCAGTTCACCACCTGGGAAAGAAAATAACCAAACTTTACTTGTGAGCCTAACTCCAGGTGGTTCATCAATTCACCACCTGGGAAAGAAAATAACCAAACTTTACTTGTGAGCCTAACTCCAGGTGGTTCATCAGTTCACCACCTGGGAAAGAAAATAACCAAACTTTACTTGTGAGCCTAACTCCAGGTGGTTCATCAGTTCACCACCTGGGAAAGAAAATAACCAAACTTTACTTGGGAGCCTAACTCCAGGTGGTTCATCATTCAGCACAAGGAGTGGCAGAGGCTCGTTCCTCCGTACGCTAAGTGTGAGACAAACTGGCTTAGTATGATGTGTCAAGTTCCGAAAATCTGTGCGAATTATCACTATACATGTTCCTTTACTACTTATATCCGTTATAATTCTGTGGCTCAACGCCCCTGCGCCTCATTCTTAGATCTTGCCTTATAATCTGTAAAGTTAATTTAACCACGGCTAAATATATATAAGTGGACTTTTGTAAGATTTATCTGTCGCCTTTCATGTTCATAAGACGGAACGAAAAGATCAACAATCCTAAGAGAGTGTTAAAGATTTAACACACTTACGTTTCACAATCATATACCAATCTTAGATTTTAATAATCATACTCAAGTGTTAACCATTTGGTTTATTAAATAAGATGGGACATGGGTATAAGTTACTAGGCTGCTTCTAGAACATTAGTTGGACAATTATTGCAGTGTAATGATGGGAAGGTATCAAGTCCTCCTCCAATTTACATGACGTAGAGATTCCAATACTTGAAGTATCAGGGATATTTCTCATGCTGCATATTTATGATATTTCACTAAATACCAGAACATGAGAAGCAGTTGTTATTATAAAGTACGAAGAAAGTCTGCGCTCAAGTTGTTATTTAATAATACATCCATAGCTACACAGTTACTTTATTACTGACATAAAGGTCGGTTAATGAAGGTTCAAAACCTATAGTAGGGTCACTAAGGCTGCACCTAACCATTTCACCACCAGACAAGAATATACTTTAACCCCTAAAATAGGGAATTAAGTAAGCTCTCAAAATATGTACGCTGAGAAAATTACACCTTTCAGTGTATAATCAGAGACAAAGCCACATACCAACAGTAGGACATACAGTTACCTTGCCATTATGGTACCAGAAGATAAAAGCTGGAGCCTCGGGACTGTGAGCCACGACACAGGTAAGGTTGATGGTAGAGCCTTTATCCACATGCATGTCTGGGAAGCCAATAACCTCTGCCTGGGGAGCGGCTGTATGGGAAGAGAACATGGTCAATCAGGGAGATAACAGACTGAAGGAGAACATGGCAAAGGTAATTTACAGGCTTTGAAGTCTCTCTCCTATATTAATTGCTTTTATTTTGGTGAGCAATCTTCCATAAGGTACCTTGCTGAGTTTTTTTTATAAATGTATATATGTCATGTATTTCATCTGTTATCGTTTCAGTTTTATGTGTACTCAGCGAGTTACTGTGTCTGTGGGGTCTCTTACACACACACACACACACACACACACACACACACACACACACACACACACACACACACACACACACACACACTCGACATGTGCCTAGGACAAAATGGTAACTAACACACACACACATATATATACATGCATACATGTATGTGTATATATATACATGTATGTATATATATATATATATATATATATATATATATATATATATATATATATATATATATATATATTATATATATATATATATATATGATATATATATGAATATATATATATATAATATATATATATATATATATATATATATATATATATATATATATATATATATATATATATATATATTTTGTCATAAATATAGAGAGGTACCACCTCTAGAACTTTACTGGGGATCCTCATCCTCACAGAAGACAATAAACGTACCTCAGGCAAAACTCAAGGTTCTCCCCGGAGCTGTTTCAATATTTTCTTCTCTTACCACCCCCTATATTTTTATACTATATGTGAACTTTATTAATAGACAGAATACACTGATAGGAAACACAAACATGAATAGATTGGTACAATATATCAAAGGGTTATGAATCTTCTCCAGCTCCTCCGAAGCCGGACGCGAGCCCAGTATGCAGCAAGCATTTCCCCTTTGTATGGCCACGCTGAGGTGCTGGAACATGAAAGTGGCTGCCCTTGGGTCCCTGGTGGTGTCGATGAGTCTGGAACCCAGTTCTTTAAGGAAACGTGTGGCATGTTTTCCCCATGATCCCAAGGTCTCTGATCCCACTGGTACAAATTGATACTGTTTGCTTATGTCCCTGTACTTGCTGGTATTGTACTCCTCTCTGTGGTCAGCAGCTCCTCCCTGTCGCCCAACACTGTGATGGATGTAGGTGTCAGCCAGTGTGGACACACAGGTATAGTCCCATGCTAAGAGCTTGCCGGGGCAGTTTGCTGGGTTGTGGGTATTGTTGGCTACTAGTGATCGGGGCTCCCTCTCGGCTGGGCATCCAGCTGTACCAAGGGTTCTCTTTATGATGTCGTTGACCTCATTGTGTCTTGCATGCCATCCCTTGCTTTTGGAACAGTTAAGACCATGTAGACCATATTGGTCGGCTTGCACATCGCCGCAAATACACGTATATTCTGTGTGAATTGGGGCAGCAAGGCGCAGAGCCACTGCAATATGGTGGGTCTTAGGGTCGAGTCGCGTTCCCACTGCCGATATGGGAACTGTTTGGAGGAAGTCCCAAGAGGTCTGGTCACAGACTGGGCCGCAGGGGTGTAGACCCCCGGAACTCTCTCCAGGTAAACTCCAGGAGTGAGGTGCGCTCACAGCTTGGACACGGGCAGTCTCCCTGTCTGATGTTACAGCCTGATCATGTTGGTAAGCACCTTTTCAGCGATGGGGCCATCCCATACACACACACACACACACACACACACACACACACACACACATATATATATATATATATATATATATATATATATATTTATATATATATATATATATACATATATATATATATATATATATATATATATATATATATACATATATATAATATTTATATATATTAATATATATATATATATATATATATATATATATATATATATATATAGGATGGGGTCCACCTCTGGTGTAAATTGTGGGACCCATAGTCTCGGAAAGTGGATAAAAAGGCTTCAAGGATGATATTTGGATTTCTTCTGAAGCCGTTTGAATATTCCACTTTCCCTACCACCCCATCTTTCATATTTTTTTTTTTACCAGTAGGAATATTTTATTACATAATATGGTACAAAAGATTTAAGAGATACAGTGTTGACATAAAGGTGGCATATATATATATATATATATATATATATATATATATATATATATATATATATATATATATATATATATATATATATATATATATATATTTTTTTATTTTTTATTATCACACCGGCCGATTCCCACCAAGGCAGGGTGGCCCGAAAAAGAAAAACTTTCACCATCATTCACTCCATCACTGTCTTGCCAGAAGGGTGCTTTACACTACAGTTTTTAAACTGCAACATTAACACCCCTCCTTCAGAGTGCAGCACTGTACTTCCCATCTCCAGGACTCAAGTCCGGCCTGCCGGTTTCCCTGAATCCCTTCATAAATGTTACTTTGCTCACACTCCAACAGCACGTCAAGTATTTAAAAACCATTTGTCTCCATTCACTCCTATCAAACACGCTCACGCATGCTGCTGGAAGTCCAAGCCCCTCGCACACAAACCTCCTTTACCCCCTCCTCCACCCTTCTTGGCGACCCCTACCCCGCCTTCCTTCCACTACAGACTGATACACTCTTGAAGTCATTCTGTTTCGCTCCATTCTCTCTACATGTCCGAACCACCTCAACAACCCTTCCTCAGCCCTCTGGACAACAGTTTTGGTAATCCCGCACCTCCTCCTAACTTCCAAACTACGAATCTCTGCATTATATTCACACCACACATTGCCCTCAGACTGACATCTCCACTGCCTCCAGCCTTCTCCTCACTGCAAACATTCATCACCCACGCTTCACACCCATATAAGAGCGTTGGTAAAACTATACTCTCATACATTCCCCTCTTTGCCTCCAAGGACAAAGTTCTTTGTCTCCACAGACTCCTAAGTGCACCACTCACTCTTTTTCCTCATCAATTCTATGATTCACCTCATCTTTCATAGACCCATCCGCTGACACGTCCACTCCCAAATATCTGAATACGTTCACCTCCTCCATACTCTCTTCCTCCAATCTGATATTCAATCTTTCATCACCTAATCTTTTTGTTATCCTCATAACCTTACTCTTTCCTGTATTCACTTTAATTTTCTTCTTTTGCACACCCTACCAAATTCATCCACCAATCTCTGCAACTTCTCTTCAGAATCTCCCAAGAGCACAGTGTCATCAGCAAAGAGCAGCTGTGACAACTCCCACTTTGTGTGTGATTCTTTATCTTTTAACTCCACGCCTCTTGCCAAGACCCTCGCATTTACTTCTCTTACAACCCCATCTATAAATATATTAAACAACCACGGTGACATCACACATCCTTGTCTAAGGCCTACTTTTACTGGGAAAAAATTTCCCTCTTTCCTACATACTCTAACTTGAGCCTCACTATCCTCGTAAAAACTCTTCACTGCTTTCAGTAACCTACCTCCTACACCATACACTTGCAACATCTGCCACATTGCCCCCTATCCACCCTGTCATACGCCTTTTCCAAATCCATAAATGCCACAAAGACCTCTTTAGCCTTATCTAAATACTGTTCACTTATATGTTTCACTGTAAACACCTGGTCCACACACCCCCTACCTTTCTTAAAGCCTCCTTGTTCATCTGCTATCCTATTCTCCGTCTTACTCTTAATTCTTTCAATTATAACTCTACCATACACTTTACCAAGTACACTCAACAGACTTATCCCCCTATAATTTTTGCACTCTCTTTTATCCCCTTTGCCTTTATACAAGGAACTATGCATGCTCTCTGCAATCCTAGGTACCTTACCCTCTTCCATACATTTATTAAAATAATTGCACCAACAACTCCAAAACTATATCCCCACCTGCTTTTAACATTTCTATCTTTATCCCATCAATCCCGGCTGCCTTACCCCCTTTCATTTTACCTACTGCCTCACGAACTTCCCCACACTCACAACTGGCTCTTCCTCACTCCTACAAGATGTTATTCCTCCTTGCCCTATACACGAATCACAGCTTCCCTATCTTCATCAACATTTAACAATTCCTCAAAATATTCCTTCCATCTTCCCAATACCTCTAACTCTCCATTTAATAACTCTCCTCTCCTATTTTTAACTGACAAATCCATTTGTTCTCTAGGCTTTCTTAACTTGTTAATCTCACTCCAAAACTTTTTCTTATTTTCAACAAAATTTGTTGATAACATCTCACCCACTCTCTCATTTGCTCTCTTTTTACATTGCTTCACCACTCTCTTAACTTCTCTCTTTTTCTCCATATACTCTTCCCTCCTTGCATCACTTCTACTTTGTAAAAACTTCTCATATGCTAACTTTTTCTCCCTTACTACTCTCTTTACTCATCATTCCACCAATCGCTCCTCTTCCCTCCTGCACCCACTTTCCTGTAACCACAAACTTCTGCTGAACACTCTAACACTACATTTTTAAACCTACCCCATACCTCTTCGACCCCATTGCCTAATGCTCTCATTTAGCCCATCTATCCTCAATAGCTGTTTATATCTTACCCTAACTGCCTCCTCTTTTAGTTTATAAACCTTCACCTCTCTCTTCCCTGATGCTTCTATTCTCCTTGTATCCCATCTACCTTTTACTCTCAGTGTAGCTACAACTAGAAAGTGATTCTGATATATCTGTGGCCCCTCTATAAACATGTACATCCTGAAGTCTACTCAACAGTCTTTTATCTACCAATACATAATCCAACAAACTACTGTCATTTCGCCCCTACATCATATCGTGTATACTTATTTATCCTGTTTTTCTTAAAATATGTATTACCTATAACTAAACCCCTTTCTATACAAAGTTCAATCAAAGGGCTCCCATTATCATTTACACCTGGCACCCCAAACTTACCTACCACACCCTCTCTAAAAGTTTCTCCTACTTTAGCATTCAAGTCCCTACCACAATTACTCTCTCACTTGGTTCAAAGGCTCCTATACATTCACTTAACATCTCCCAAAATCTCTCTCTCTCCTCTGCATTCCTCTCT